AAAAGACAACCTTTCAAAGACAACCCCACAGACACCCTCGGAGGGCATCCCCCAAAGACTTCCCAAAGACAACGCCCACAGATCCCCCCAAAAACAACCGCAAAGTCATCTACACAGGCAACTGCCCGAAGACACTCTCGGAAGACATCCCCCAACACAACCGCAAAGACACCAGCGAAGACACCAGCAAAGACACCGGCAAAGACACCCACGCCACCAAAGACACCCGAAAGGCATCCCAGAAGAATCGTCAAAACACCTTCCCCAAAGACCTCACCTTGAATACATCTCGTGAACGTGTCACAGCTGCGCAGCACTTTAGAGCGCAGCACTTTTGAACTTTTGCGCGGATTGCATGGCAGGCGCGCCGCTTTGGAGCGCTTTGGAGCTTGTTGTGCTGATTCTGTGGCAGGTGCAGTCCTTTCATTGGTCGCGCGCTGAATGCTGTTGCAGGCGCAGCACTCTGAAGCATCGAACGCCGATGCAGCGGTTTGGAGATTTCGCAGTACTTCGGGAGCCTTGGAACGCTTCTGGAAGTTGTCTTCGGGGTATATCTTTGCGGAACGTCTTTCGGTGTGTCTTTAAGGCTTTTGGGGACGTCATCCGCAATTGGCGCGGGACTGTAGCGCCAGAATGATTGTGACTGGGCCAACGAGAATGACATTCGGGCAAACGCTTGCGCGCCCCTGCCACGCAAAATGAGTCAAAACGACCGCAACTCACAATGGCACGGCGACGCAAACGCGCAACCTTCCAAAACACTGCGCCTGCACAATGAGACGACACGTCACGTCCCAAAAGCTACGATTCACGCACACACTCGCGTTAAAAAAACAAAAAAAACGTGTTTCCCAAGTAACTCCAAGCGCTGCTTGTTCCGCTTCCCGAACGGCACGGCGCGCGCGACACTTGCGCACAGTTCATTGCTCCTGTGTCCTCGTCAGCGTCGCCCTGGCCAGCGCAACAATGCAATCATGGCACCGATGAAAACGCACACGAAGTGCAGCTCAGATGCCCAGTGGCCATGGGAAAAAAGGGGCATCCTTTTTTGGTTGGTTGAGTTTATAGGGGAACCCTTCCCCAAGAAAAGGAAATTGTGCAACCCAGGCATAGAACCACTTCAGAGCGAGTGGATTGGGATCCCCAAAAAATCCTGGAACTTGTTGTTTCTTTTTGTGTCTCCCACTACAATGGCCTTTCTCAAAAAGTCTAAAGTCATGAACTCAGGGAGGGAGTGAAACTGTGTTGGCTTTCCCATATACTGGCAAACCAGAGTGTGTGACCATCCCACAGATAGTGAGCGAAAGGAAACTGGCTTCAACCTCAACAGTGATGGTCAGCATTTGTACAAATGCTATTGCATGAGACACCTTGACGTATCCTCTGTACTTTCATAGTGATGGTAGTGGTGGCGGTTCCTTTTGAAGGCTGTACCTGGGATGGAACCAAACCTCTGTCGGGACCCTCGGCGCTGAGACACCAATGCATTGGGCCCGGGCCAGGCTGAAGTCTTTGTAAAGGAAGCCAAATTGACATACTGTGGATTGACAGGAAAGCGAGAGAAAGCAAACAAACCTCTTCAAACGTGGCATTCAAAGGGTGTTATTGCTGCGAGTTGCAACATGTGATCTATCAAACCGAATTTCAGGAAGCGCTCAAACGCCAATGGGATTGTTTCAAAACAGGAGAACCGCCAAAACGGGTGGTTTTCCTAAAGCAGCCCACAAAAGGTACCAACTGAACAAAGCAAAACACACACACACACACACACAAACACGCACACGCACAATCTCTTCCTCTTGAAGATATCTTTTCAAAAGGGGCCCTGAAAACCCAATGTCCATTAAAAACCGCCTAAATGGGGTACCAAGTCAAAAAAGAACATCTGCACACCCCCACCCCCCGCCACCCCACAATTCTGGGGCCACTCATTCTTAAAGGTCCTTTGAAATGCCTCAGGCCCCTTTTGGGTCCTTGGAGGATGGCGCAGCCCTAAAAATTCTAGGGGTACCTTCCAATTGCCAATTCCATTCTTTCCAGGGATCCTTTTTTCTAGAAATCCTCCGGACACCGAGGGAAACGGCCGGTTTTTGGAAAGAACGATGGTTGAAAAGAATGGAAAAGAGATCAAGCAATAGACAATTCCACCATTGACCCGAGTCCCTCCTCCGCAGAGCTGGAAGATGACTCCTCCTCCGAGGCGCTGCAACTGGATTTCGCCGCACCTACGAAAGCGCCGGTAGAAAAAACAACAACAGCCGATTGAGTGGCTCAAAAACACGTGCCGGGCTGCCCTCAGATCCCCTGCTAAAAGCTTAACTTGTAGTGGGTTAAATGGCTGTGGCTCAAAAAAGTGGTACCAAAATGGCACCATGGTAAGTGGAACCACAGACTAAAACCCGAGTAACCCAGCTCTTTAATTTTGAGCCATACCCAAATGGCAACTACCACTAAACACTAAAAGGAGAACAAAAAGCTAAGGAACCGGATGTAACTGGGGCAACCCAATTCTGAGCCACACCCATTGCTTGGCTGGTTCTTGAGGAGACAGCGAATCTACTTGCAGCGGTTTTCGTTTAAACCAGGTGGGCTGGAACAAGTTCGTGGGGGAACAGCCTGAAATGGTGTGGTTAGTAGGGAACTATGGTCTGTTTAGCAGGTTCAACTGTTTGATTCACATTGATGGTTTGCAAGAAAGCTCGATACTCCAAAGGCTTGAACACCTTGCACAAAAGCGAAACCAGCTTTGCCAGTTGGTGGGGAAAAGAGAAGGGTCGAACAAGCTCACTCAGAACATGATGCACAACATTTGACCAGTTCAATTTTCAAAAGTTGTTGTAAAACTACCTCAGTGTTTGTTCCCCCGCCAAAAGTAATATTATTGATTACCGTCCACATCTAGCGAACCTTTGTAATATTTGTAGGCCTTCATCCTCCTGGAGAAAAAACATGTTTCCGCCTTTGACTGGATAAATCTTCGGGAAATCTGGCACTTTTTGCCGCAAAAACCTGTTTCTGCCCAAATTGTAGCCAAACCACTGGAATTCGGTCAATCGTAGGGGTCTCCTACACCCAGACATTTCCCGGAGTTTGAAAATCCAAAATAGACTCAAAAGAGATGCCAAAGGTCAAAGGTCGCTCCGGCAATTCAGCCGAGCCACGCTCGGCAGCCTTGGCTGCCTGTGCTGCCTCATGTGCCGCTGCCAAGGCGGCTAAAGGCTCCTGCAGTGACGTAGCAGCCGGGGACTCTGGAAACTCAGGTCAAGCCCAAGGAAAAGCCAGGAATGAGTTTTGATAAGGGACCCAAACTGGTGGACACCAGAAGTGTGGGGAGGTCCATCCGCCACTTTTTGAGGTTCCAAGACTTCAATTTCACAGCCATCAGTAAAGCGCCGGGTCCATTGGACAGTTGCAGGGAAGATGTCATTTGCATGATAAAATGGAATGCCGAGCAGACCTGCGCGGATTCAGGGGGTGTCTTTTTGAAGTTGTGTTAAGAAAAAACGAAGACCACCAGGAAGACCACCTTTTTGGCATCCCCCATATGTTCAGAAAACACATGTCTGGGCTGTCCTCAGCTCCCCCCTACAAGTTTAACTTTTAGTGGGTTAAATGGAAATCGCCACTAAACATAAAAAGGTTAAAAGGCTAAGGGGATGGCTGGGAGCCACCAAGATGTGCCAACTCCATTTTCACTTTGCAATTCTGCCACTGATGCAACCAAGCCCTCAGCCGGCCTCAACTGCCGCCTGCGCTGCTGGGGCCTGGCTGTGCAACTTAATTTCTCTTCAGAGTGCCTCTGCCTGGAGTCTCCATGACCCTTTAAAAATGGTTCCGCCCATTATTTTGGGCAATGACCCCGTTTCTGAAGGGTCATGGAGACTCCAGCTAAGTCTTCAGATGGGCATCAACTTGAATCCAAGACCCTTTGGTGGATATCAATTAGGGGGGATGCATGCAACCACCCAAGCCCGAGGTGGTCCCTTCTTAGAAGTAACTGCCGCATGCTTGAAACGTGGTGCGGCCGAGGCTTCGCACACGAACCGTGGGCCTTGATTTCGAAAGGCCCCGGTTGAGTTGCCGTACAGCCGCGCGATTTGGAAAATCTGGCAGATACGATTCTTCCATTCAAGTTCCATCAGGGTGAAAGTAGATGGCAGGATGACCTCTTTGTGTGGGCAAGGGGAGGACTAAATCGAAAAGGGGCATTGGTCAACATATTGCCTCATTCAGACTTTGGTCCACCTGTACATCCAGTGCACAGAAAATCCGCCGGCAAACATAAGGGCGAAGTAGCTTGCCCAATGGCCAATGCAACCACAACAATTCCAGGAGAGGGCTTATGTCTCACAAAAGGATCTGAGAGAGCAAAGTACCCCCCTGCAAAGGAAGCCGGCAAGTATGCAAACTGGTTGGCTAGTCTGCACATTTGACAGGACCTTGACCCGAAACGGCCCAGGTTCAAGTTGCAACTCAAACTCTTGCGAGCAAACACAAGAGCTGGCTGACAAGAATCCGCGGTCTTTGCGCGCCCCTTTTGTTTGTTTTCTGGCTTGGCCACTCTCTCTGGCAACTGTGTTCGGGGCTTGGGCGGGTAGCTGGTTCCGAGAAACCTCCCATTTGGCCCTTTCGCAGGTTTGCTGATTTGTAGCAACACAGCCAAGCCCTCCATATTTGTTCCTCCCCCGAAAATGGCCCTCGTTGCTTCAACATCTGCTGTGAGCCAGGTTTCTGAACTATTCAGCGTAAGCAACCCTGGGACACTCCCTGTTACCACTCTAGCTTCCATTTGTTTTTTCGTGCTTCCATTGGCTACCTACAATAGAGAAAATATCACAGGGACGTAGCCAGTCGGTCTTGAAACCAACTCGCCAGGTTCGCCCGAGCCAACCCGTCGCAAATTGTGACATCTTCCCTTAACGCATCACTCCGAAGGACCTCAAGTCTCCTTCCAACCCTTTGAAAACATTGGTCATCGACCGAAATTGTGTGACACCATTTTAGAGCGTCAGATTCGGATACTTCAAGGCTAAATTGTCCAAATGTTGGTCCTGGCGATGTCTGACCCCCATGGTTTTTTTTTCAACTCTGGAAACCCCAATGGGGGGTGGTTTCCGAGCCCCAAAAGGCTTCCCAACAGAAACACAAACACGCACATACCCGGGTCCAAGTCCTTATGGATGTTCAGGAGTTCGAATGGTCAGTCTGCATCTTCAGAAAGCAAGGACAGGGTACTTAGAATGGGTTGTTGTGGGGAATCTACTTTTTATAGCCATGCTCACTTTCAAAAGGACCCAGCAAATCCAAGGGTTCAGCTTTTGCGGCCACCAAAAAAAAGGGAAGCTCATAGGTTCAGGGTGGCTGGGGGGAGGGAAGGGGGAGGGAGCCCAAGTAAGCCCTACATAAGCCCTTATTAAGCCCTTAATAAGGCCTTCTGTCGGGCTTGTGTGGGCTCCCTCCCCTCCCCTCCCCCTCCCCTTCCTTCCCCCCCAGCCCCCATGATAGATATCAGCTCCCATCAACCCTTCGCTTCGTTTCTTTTAATTTATTTTTCACGCGCCACCAAAGCCGCGCCTGGCTGGGGCGCCGCTCCGTGGCGGCGATCTCTGCCACCGTGTTGCGCCGCGCTTGCGTGGAGAGCCTCCGCTGCACCTGGCGAAATCGAAAGCGAACAGCGCACGGGAAGCGCAGTCCAATGGCGACTGATGGGCAAAATCTAGTTGGAGTCTCCATGACCTTTGGTTTCAATGCAGGTTCATTCCCTTATTTCCTTACCCCAGAGGATCCCTTGGTACCTCCTTGAGGATGGCTTCTGGGAGTAAAAAGGGGTCTAAGTACCTGCTTAGAAGGTACTTGGAGCCTCGTACGTCGCCGGTACGTATCGCTCCAGCAAGTTTCGTGCCTCCTTGTTCACCCGCTGCTCTTTCTTGGGTCCTGCTTCTGCCATGCGCAGCCGGACAGCTTCGATGGCTTCGCTCATTTCGCCTGCGAGCGCAAGCGCCGGCACATGCGTCCAACGTCACAGCCGCGGTGAAGATGTGTTGTTCCCCCGAAGGCCATGGGATGTTTTTTCTCGAGTCCCCTGGTTCTTTGGGAAAATCGTTGAGTGCCCCCCTTCTCGTCCCTTTCAAAAGGACCATCCAGGGACCTGCCAACTCTTTGAGGCTCAAAAGGGGACCTGGAGAATCGGCCGAAGAGGCTTGGGTTCTGAGAGATTCTTCCGAAACCCCGAGGATGGGCTGTCAAACAACCACGCCCTCCTCGGAAACCAAAAGGAGATTGTCCAAACTGGGGGCTGGTTACATTCGCGCCAAGAAAGGTATTGGCGCGGGTACGGGTACGCGCTCTATTTTGACCGCCCTTTTCGGGAATGCAGGAGACGTGTGCCTCCTGTTTGGAGGCTAGCCCTCCAAAAGGAAACGCCACATTTTGATGTTGGGAGTCTCAAAGAGGCCACACCTCAGGACTTGGTTGCTGTTGATCTCCCTGCAAAAAGTTCAACCTTTTGGGGGTTTAGTGGAAAACCCAACTTTATTTCCCCAAAAGTTAAAGTCTAAAGATCCAAGCCAATAGCAGTCAAGAAGAATAGGTCAGTTCAGCGCCTTGTATCGCACCCTTCGCTGGCGGCCCTCTTGCATGCTCTTCTGGCGCTGGCGCATCGTAGTTCTTGGCCCTCGGTTGACATGCGTCTGGCTCTCTAGTGGCCGCTTTGCCCCCCCCCCCCCCCTCAATTCCTCGAGCAGTGCTTTTACACAATCAGCGGGCTGGTGTCAGAAACAAAAGCCCACGATGACATCACTTCAACACCTGTGGCCAAAGAGGATGGGTCATGTGTCGACGAGCGTGTTTTGTTCCCGCCACGCAGCAGTGAATGGAAGGCCAACATTGAAGCACTGCCACTGCTTCAAGCCAAGAACGCGGATCCAAGATATAGTTGTAAAGGCCCCAATGACAAGAATAGGATACTTTGCAACCAAACTCATTGTACGAGTTTGTGGGATATTTGTTCGGGAGCTTGGGCACAACTCTTTTGGCCGGACGCCTAAGTTTCCTCAGCGGCAACCGCCAGCCTGAAGGCCGGGTCAAAGAGGAATGGCACGTGATTTGGCGCCCATGGATTCACAGTCAACTAGGTCGTGTCATTTAATCTGGCGCTTGATTTGGTGCTCACTGCCAACTCAAATTAGTAAACCGCTGCTTCTGTTGGAAACATTTATGTACCAGAGGTCGGACTAACAAAATTCCTGAACCAAACGCACGGGAAGTCGCATGTGTGTTCGTCCAAAGCGGCCAGGCTCTTGGGAAGTGCCCACTTTGGTGCTGGAACACATGCAGTAACCCCTTCCTTGCAAGAGGTTCGGCATAAAATCCGTCGTTCCTTTCCTGAAGAAAAGGCCGCCGCAACTCGCCTTGTGACTTTCAACTTGGACATGTATCCTTGAAGCAAAAATGGCTCTACCGAAGCAGAGCTGCCTATTCTTCCTCCTATATCACGCAAGGAGAAAGCTCATTACAAATTTGCTCAAAAGGTCGGGCGGAGACGGGAAACGTAGAAACCCTGTAAGAGGGCTATGATGGAAAGTCAGCTATCTGAGTCGTGACATGGAGACTTTCTGCTTGCCTGAGGATCGAAATGAACTTCCTCTCGGGGACTGCTCGGCTTCAGCTTGGTGTAAAGGGAGACCAAAAGGAGAACAACTGATTTTGGTCCAGCCCCCGATTTTTGTGGCTCCAAACCCCATCTCAGGTCCACAATCCCTTAAAGGGCCCAGCTTCCTCTTCGCTTCCTGCTTCCATTTTCTCCGAAGCGCGTGAGCAGGATCAAGGTACAGGGCAGCACCACGCGCCGCAGGTCGCTGACCAACAACAAGGGCACCGCCGAGTCCTGCCTCGGAGTGACGCAACTCCGGGTGCCCGGCTGGATGGCAACGCGCTTGATTCAGACCATGGGACAAAGATGTGCGAGAAAAAACAAATTATATATATATATATACGTCTTGCAGCTACCCTGGTCACCTCATCATCCATCTCCCGGTGTTTGCTTTCAGGGGATGGGGTGCGTTCCATTTCTCGGGGCCCCATCTCCGCCGATCGCGGGAGACGATCTCCGCCGGGCGGCTCCTTCTTGGTCCACCGGGCCCGCAGGCCCTGGTTCGCGGCCATACGCCGCAGCTCCAGTTCCAAGTTCCAGAACCTGAGGCTCGATGGCTCGCTACCGGACGGACCCAGCAGAAAAAGCCCCCCCGTGGTTTTTGGGGCTGTAGGTGTCGTTTTCGTTGGAGGCTTTTTAAAGGGTACGCACCAAACAACGAGATGGAGGTAGGTACCTGAAAAAAAAAACACCTCCTGAATAGTTGTTGACTTTGTTGGGATGGAACAAACTTCTTTGAGGGGGTGGGTTTAAAAGCAAAAGCGAAAACCACCATTTTACAAAGGTAAGGCTGGTCATTAGGTGGTGGCTTCCCTTTAAAGCACAAGAGGGTTGTTTTTATTCTTTTAGATGGAACCTGGTTTTGGCTTAAACGGTTTGGCTCGTTGCCTCTCGGCCCGGCCGCGAGCTTCGGTATGTTCAAACCAGCATTTTGTCTCGGCCCCAGGTTGAAGCCTGTGATCACTGTAATCCAGCATGCATTTGGTAATGTTGTGCATGCCAACTGTTCAAGTGACAAACATCCAAGCATGACTCTCATGTAAACCGCACCAGTCTTGTGGGGAAACGATCCCATCAGGCCTCCGTGGTTTCACTGATGGTAGGTCCGTTACGATGAGTCTTTCCATGAAGGCCATGTTTGTTGGTCCGTGAATCTATTTGTTGCCTAGGCAATGGGTTTGCCTTTGACCCCCTGCAAATGCCCAAACCTTTTGCTAGTAGTCGGGAGGTAGCTCGTGTTCGAAGAATAAGCAGCCAAATCTCGAACCAAAGAGCAACCCAGCACCTCCAAACAGTTGCGTTTTTGCTGGCATGGAAACTTTGGGGCCCGGGGGGGTGGGTGGGCCAAGGTCAATGCAAACTAAGAGCCACAGCAAAGGGATCTTGGGGTCGATCCGCTCCTCCTTGTCCTCGTTGATGTTGAGCACCTCAGCAGCTGTCGTCAACCTTTCTCCAACTATCCATAGTAAACATATACAAATAAGAATATCGAAGGAAGTTTACAAGGCATGAGAAGAGGAAACTCCGGGCTGGGGGTCCTGCTCTCCCCCCTCCGGATCCGGAGGTTGGGTCGCCGATGCATCCGGATGCCAATTAAACCGCAAACGATCTGACCCAAATGATGCCCTTAAAGAATTGAAATCACCGCGTAGGTGTGGGCAATATGGGCTTGTCTCCAAATCATTTAGCTCTAAAATCTAAAATGAGTGGGTTCCTGTTGGTGTCCTTGAAACAACCGCACAAATGGTTACCTTGTAAAACAACAAAGAGACCCATAGCCCATCTTCAAGGGTAGCTGTTAAGGGGCCACTTAGCTTGCCCACGTTTCGCTCCGGCCAGGGCTCGTGTACACCTTGATCCCGTTCACAAGACTTGGGAAGGTCGGCTCTTGGAAAAGGTGAGTCACAATCAAAACCCGGTATTAAAATGTTTGACCCAGAACCATGTAAGGAAATACAAAGGCGGATATCCGCAGCTATTTATGGCTGGGATTGTCCCTTAACCTTCACTCACCCGGGTTTTGATTATGGCTCAGGTGTGCTTTTGCTGGCTGCAAGGCTGACCTGCACAAATTCCATAGACCGCTCTCTCCCAAGGCGAACTGTCAAGGACAAATATGCGTCTGTCTTGAAGTTGGGACGCCTTGCTTATGGAGGCACAAGCAACACTACCGCTGAGCAACTAGTTTTGGGGGGTCGAGTTTGAGACACATCGAGATGCCAGGTTGGGTGCTCGAAACTTGCAATTTTCAGGCTGCAAACTTCAACCAGCCTTGAAATGTCGAAAGACTCCTCTCCAAAACGGGCGCACATCTCCCAGAAGGGTGTCTCCGCACATGCATGTGAGAGCTTGAAAAACCTATCCGTTGGAAATGGAAGCCTTTTTTCAGGCTGCAACGCGATCTTGGAAGTTCAATACACTTTACAACACTACTCTATCGCACGTGGCACATGACAAGTTTCCTCATCGGAACATGTTGTTTGTCGCTGATGCAGGCGAACCTGTTCCCTCACAGGTTGGACTGTTTGATTTCAAAAAGAATCGGAGGCGCTCAAAGGGGAAAGGGGTGCCTATGGCTGGTTCCCTTTTGGATTCCCTTCAAAACAAACCAAAAACGGCTGGTTACCTTTTGGAATCCGTTTAAAACCAACATACACCTCCAAGCCCCCCCCCAAAAAAAACAGCGAAAGAAGAAAGACCTGGCCCTCCCTTTTCGCGGCCCCAGGCACTGCCGGGTGCAGCAGCAGGAAAGTGACCAGCAGATTGGCGGTGTCCGCTTCCGGACCCGTGTGCATGATGCGCAGGGCCTTCCTTGGGTGAACCAAAGGCAGGGTTCTTGGAACTTCCATCCCCTGGCTTCCTTTTGGAGGGCATCAAATGAAAAAAATGGTCGAGGTATTGCCAAGTCGTGAGGACAGCTTTTCAGTCGTCTTTACACCCTACCCTCAGCATCAAATGCGCCCCTTTGGTCGATTTCGTCAGCGGAAGTTCCTGCGAAGGGTTCGGAGAACCTGTCCCCCTCAATTCTTCGCCGCCGAGGGCAACCGCCTGGCTCTAGGACTCTAGGCCATGCTCGCCCCAAAGAACCTGTGAAGGTTGACCTCCTTCACCAAAACTGCACTCCACATCAGAAAGGTTAAAAGGTCAGCCGATGTCGGCGAGGCCAGAAACTCTTGAACTCTAAGGAATTAGATGAAAGCCATCAGGGTTTTCAATCAAGAATTGAAGGCCACATTTCTGGGTGGCTTAACAAAGGTGACCCGCCCAAAAATGGTGGTTGTCTTGATTTCCTGTTTTTCACCACCCCCAAAACGTGTACCGTTGATCAATTGATCAATAAAAAGACAGATGACCCCATTTCGGATCATGGATTTCTCCAGTGATGTTCCATGAAGCCCAGTGCACTTGGCGAACCAAAGCAGGGAGGCCCGGAAAACATCCTGGCCCCACCTCACACAAACAGTGGAAATTCCAATTTGCGCCAAGGCGCCCCGTAAGTTGTGTCCAAGCCGGATCACCCCTGAAAATGAAGAGCTTTTCATGGATCCCTCTGAGACTTTTTGATGAGGTTGGTTGGTTGGTTGGTTGGTTGGCTGGCTGGCTGGCTGGCTGGCTGGCTGGCTGGTTGGGTTGGGTTGGTTGGTTGGTTGGCTGGCTGGCTGGCTGGATTGTTGGTTGAAGAAGCGAGAAAACGATGGCATGGCAAGTCTCTCGTCACAACCCAGCAGGATGCGCAGCTGCCGATGAAGCTCGGCCTGAACTTCCTGGAGAAACTGTTGAACGGCGAGTCGCAGCTGAGGAATAACCATGGGATCCTGCCAACTTCTGGGGGGGACTGACCAGATTTTTAAAGGGGGGATTCACTTCCAATCTGAAAAAATGAGTTAAAGGGTTGTCCCCATTTAGAGGGGATCCTTCACTTTTTTGGGAGCGTGCGGCGGTGGGACAAGCAGGTTGTTTGCTTGGATCGTTTGTGGGGCAAGGGTTTCCTCTTATTGTGTTTGCAGAGGACCGAAAGTCTTGGGCAAGTCAACTGGGCAAGTTGGCTTCATGTTAGTGTTCCGCTGCCAGCGAGGAATGTTCCGTTTGGGCATGCTGAGCGATCAGAAACAAAACTTCGCGAGGGCCAATTTTGCTCCGTGGGAAAAAACTGGTGGGATTTCACCACCGCGAACGTCACCACCGCCACCCCCACAATTCCGCCTTGCCAATCAAAACTTGACATTCACCTTGAGACCAACAAACCCGCCAACAAGGCGGAACCTTTTGAAGGTGTATCGGAGCCTAACGGGGAAATGCTCATGTTCGCAAAAGGACAGGATAAAGTTCAAAAGATATTCAATTGGTTCTTGGGTGAGTGGCTATTTTTGCCCAAACAGCTAAAGCCTAAAGATCCAACCCCATGCACCGCCCGGTCGCTTCGCGCAATCGCTGTGCCTCCGGCCACCCGGCGGCTGGGGGCTTCAGGGAGAGCATCCCCCCCGCCGCCATCACCGCACAGTCCGACGGCACCTCGGTGGCGGGCTGTTTCGGCGGGTGTCACGTGGTTTCTATCGGTGTGTTTGTCAAAAATGGGGCAATGGTGGTGGTTCATGTCCACCTGCCATTTGTGAGGTGGTTTCCTATTTGACTCATAGCCATGTGGGTCTGTCTCAAAATGGGGAACTGTGGGATGGTTTTGGAAAACCGAAAGGGAATCGCTAGGATTTGGTCCCCTGATGATTTAAACATAGAGAAAACCCATGGTACCCCTTCTTGTGGGGAACGGCGGTTAAGGGTTGGTTCAGGGTTGTATATATTCCCGGTAGGTCCGAAAAGGGGACGGGTACCATGACCATAGATCAAGTGTATTGGGAACAGCGGCAAAATCTACAAGAATTTGCAACCTCCCCGCCCCCCAAAAAAAAACGACACCAGCCTCCGAGCATCCCCTTTTTTTCGGCCCGTCTCCCCCCGTCTCCGATCCAAATCCGCTCCGATCCGCGAGCCCCGCCCTCCGCGAGCTTGTCCGCGGCGCGAGGTCCTTCCGCCAGCTGCAGCTCTCCTCGAGCCCGGCGCTCAGCACGTCGTCCAGGCGCGAGTCGCAGGAGCCCAGGAGCTCGCCGTTGGGGCGGCCCGTGTGCTCGGCCAGCCTGGAGCTCGGAGCTCGGAGAGAAACAAATGTTGGGGGAGAGGGGTTCCAGCCTGGCATAGAGCCAGCTCGAAGAGACATACATAGAGCTCAGAGCTCCCCAGAGAGATTTGGGGGGAGCCGTTGCGTGATTGGTGGCAAATCAAGAGGGGTGAAGGAAAGTCGGAACCCCCGACATCTTTCAACTCAGAGAAATTGGTGGTTCGCCCGATGACTCTTTTCTCCCCCCAGACCCTGGAGTTGGGGAGAAACGACTTGGCCCCGGTCACCCCCATTTTTTGGGCAGGTGGTCGCGAAGGGAATCCTGCAGAACAGGTTGAAACCCAGGGAAGGCCTGCACTACACAGGGCACAATGTTGGTTTCTCAGTGTTTGTTCGGGGCACCCTGTTTTCCCCAAGCTGAAGCAAGGGTTGGTTGTTTCCAATGTCTGCCTCAGTCTGTTGTTGTTTTGGATGGAGTCAAAGGAAAACCAAAAGGACACCTGGGGCCTGGAAGGGGGCATAACTTCAAACATACAATTTATAAACCCTTAGTTGGTTTACAGGGAGGGAGGTGCCCCATTTCACGGAACATCTGTGAGGAAATGCCAAACAGACCTGGGCAAGCTACTCAATTCCTAAATCGGAAGATACCGGAAGTCAGAGAACCTCCTCCCAGTAATGGCAGCCCCGCATGAATAAGCCGTTCTACTAATTACTGGGGCACAAAAAGCGTTGGATTCTCACTAAAATAGGAGACACCCCCGATGCCTCAACGAGCCTATTGATCAACGAGGGGGTAATGAATCGGGGTTGACATCAAAGCAATGGGAAGGATTTTGTGAGCAAATGCCAAACAGAGCTAGAGCATGGGTGATTCAGATAGGTCCAAAGCCATTTCATTGCCAAACAGCTCCTTGCAACGTTGGTGATTCCAGGTATATACCACCAAAAGAAACTGACAGACCCAAGGCTAGGCGACCCGGGAGCCTGCTGTGACTGCAATCTTTTGGTAAGGCGCAAAGGCTGAGACCGTTTTCGATCTCCCAATGTAAAGGAAAGCCGAGCCAACGAACCAACGAACCAACGAACCAACCAGCCAGCCAGCCAGCCTTCACCCAACCACGTTAAGCTAACCAGCTAGGCTAAAGCAGCTAGTTATACTCTTCAACTAGCAAATTACCCAACCTTGGCCAGATTTCAATTTCCACACACACCCACCTCCCCTGCAAAACGCTAACTTGAACAGGGAAAACAAAGGACACCCAAAAGGGCAAATAGAGAAAACAAGATAGCTAAGTCGGGCAATGTACACTTCCTTTCACCAACATAGCAACTGTGGGAGGGTACCTGAAAGATCAGTTTCCTGCCAGGCGCCATGTTACTATTTCCCGAAGTTAATCAGCCCCAGTTTATTAATAGGAAGGTGTCCGATTCTGGGTTTAGAGGGGAATCCGACCACGTTTGGAGGGGCCAAAACCACCCCCCCCCCCTGCGAATGAACAGGTTGGTGGAGTCATAATATGGGGTCAACGCTTTCCGCCGAAGGGCTCCCGCTTCAGCTCAAAGGTGTCGGAGCCCGGCACGAAGGCCGCGCACGCCACGCAGAGCGGCACCTTGCGCCCGTCCTGCGAAGCTCGTTGACGTATCAACGCACGGCCCGTGTTGACGGGTCTCTCTGCCGTGGATTGAACAGGGGGCCGTGATACTTCAACACATTTCAAAAGGAGGATAAAGTGGGTTGGCCGCCCACCCCTTCCCAAAAAAAAAGAACAACGTGGTTTCCGTTGTATTAAGACCCCCCCCCCCAAAGAAAATCCGAAAAACACAAGAACGTGGTTCCCGCTATATTGGTGGATTGGCCGCAAAAAATCCGAACTTGCTTGCCAGAAATCCAGGACCTCATTGAGCCCAACTGAAAAGCTACAGTCTTCCGGATCACCAGGCGGGCCAAAAGTTCACGGGGCAGACCCCCTTGGCATCTTGAGAGTTTCCGCTTCAACATGTTTTGGGCTGCGGGAAGAGGGGCAAAGGGCCGATTGGGATGCTTAGAGTTGCGATTTTGCGTAAACCAACCCCTAAACAAACAAGTTTGACAATTTGAAGGTGGTTTGTCCCAGCATTTGTAGGGTTTCATGCATCCCAAGTGCTGCAGGATTGTCCACCCACAGTTTTCTAGTTCCCCGCGAGGACCTTTCGGGTTGTCCTTGCTTTGTAAAGGCGTGATTCAAGGTGATGATTTCCGAGGGGACATGTGAGTAGAGCTGTATATATATATATATGGGAAGCCAATTTCGGGGCGGGGTTCCCTTGCAAACGCACAGTGTGTCAACAATATGTTTTTGTATATCGCGGAACCATTAACATGAGAACACATGATTACACATGTATGCGCATATACAGAACTGTTTACCAAGAGAAGTATGTACAACAAACATGGCGATGGCCGCTCTATCAACAAACCAGTCTCAATCATGCAGTGTGTCACCTTGTTCGGCTCAGCTTTTGCGCCCCAACCAAAAGAAACAAGATAAAGTTTGATTCTGATCGGATGTGAAGTGAAACATGAAACATCATGTCAGCAGCGATCCCATGGTCAGGAAACTACGAGGCCTGATCCTAGAAACGGAATCCACGGTCCTCTGCAAGCCGGATGATCAGACCCCACTTGGGTGCCTCTGTTTGGATAGAAATGGAGTTATAGCCCTCCTGAATGAAGTTTGCCGGGTCCCATGTAAAACAAAACTGAGGCCAAGCAGTGGCGACTTGGATGCACTTAGTTGAGATTCAGCTGGGACCACAACCCATTAACTGTTTTTTTTCTCAGGGAAACCAAGGGGAGAAACAACAGGGATCCTTCCATTATACACCAGAACATTGCCTTGTAAATGGTGGTTTCCAACTTTATCTTGGTGTTGAAAAAGCCACATGTTTCAAATGGTTGCAAGCAACATGCATTTCTTTTCAGGAGCCCTGGCGGCTGTTGGCGGCTTTGCCTTTGTTCTCCTTGCAAAACCAACCAAGGAAGAATAAAACACAAGGAGCCCTGAGAGATTTCAAAAAACAAACAAACATCAAAATACATATATCAAATCATAAATTCGATATATATATTCATAAATTTCTATAAACCATAATCCTACAACAAATATATATATATATATATATTTCTTATTCTTTCGAGGCGCCCGGCGTCCCCGCTTGACTCGTTTCACCGCTGGCCTCCAGCAGCTCCGCGCCCACGGCCTCCCCGCCGCAGCCGCAGCGCCGGGCCGCGCAGCTGCGGAGGAAGGCGCCGCGGCCCGGGACGTGGCCCAGGCGCTCCTCGCGCGTTTGGCGCGGCGAAAAGACGCGGGGGGAGCCCGACGAAACAGGTAGCCGGCACCTGGACACTCATTTTTTGTCTGAAAAAGTGGTGTGGCTGGGCACCTGAACACTCAACATATGCCTGAAAACACGTGGAAGACCCGAGAAAAACGTGGAGGACCCAAACACAAAGAGTACCTGGACCCTCCAAACACCCTGAAAGATGGTGTAGCTGGAGACCTGAGAACTCAACATATTCCAAAAAACAACTGGAGGACGAGCAAACAAACCTGGACACTCAAAACACCCTGAAAGATGGTGCTGGGTACCCGTTTTGTGAATGGGCAGAAGGAGGGTCCAGGTAGATGTAGCGCGGGCAGTTTTGGTAGCCTCAAGCAGCGCCATCGGTCTGTGCTCGAAGATTTGGAGGGTGCCCTTATCACCTCAGTTCAAAAACAAACCAACAGGAAGGCCAAGGCCACATATTTTCAGCCCCCCCAATTCTGGCACATACCCGAACAAGGCGGGCTCTCCAAATCCATGGGACAGTTCGCACCCCTGAACCAACAAGAAAAAGAAAACAAGTCCAAATCTGCGGGAAATAGCTGTGTCCAAAGTAGCGCTGTATATCCCCGAAAGATTTTTTTGCCAGATTGGACCTGCATCACTGCATCACCCTTGTGGTACTAAGTTGCGACGACTTTTTCTCACTCAGGCTGTTCCCTTGGTATCACAGAAGCTCGCGCGAACCCCCACGCTCTTTCCAGAACCATGATGCCCATCCCCCCGAACCAGGCAAACCATCGGGACAGAAAAGCCTCTATGGAGCTGTTGGATGTCCAGCTGAGATGGTAAGTCGGCCAATCACGGTTTTCCCACTTACCAAGCAAAAACAAGCATCCGCCAAACGTGTTGTCTGTGTGTGTGTGTGTGGCAAAATTCGTGGGACCCCAACCATGTTGGTTCTCCTTTTTGGTTTTCCCCTTAACGCTACCAGGGATACCACCTAGGTCCTCCAGTAGAGAGGTTAGAATAAGGGTACCAACTTATTTTTGTAGTCTATTTTAGGAGGGTTGAACCCTCCCAACCAAAAGAAAAAGTGAAAAAGGGCACTACTCATAGACCTGGACAGGTTGTGAATCGCCAAAAAAGGGCAAAAGTTGGCCCCTAGCCGGGGGACCTAGCCACGCCACAGCTTGAGCGAGCAGCTCCAAGGCTTTGGGTCGCGAGCGGTCGCGAGCTGTCGCGACTCCTCCAGGTCCGCGCTACGGGCTTCCAGCACCGCCAGCGGCGCCCAAGTGCTGGGCGCGCTCTGCAGACTCTCCAGCCAGCCGCCGGCGAGGTACCCGCAGATCTCCTGAGAAACGAGTTGGGGTCAGGTGGGAGGGAGGAGGGTACCAACTTGGGGTGGGTTTAAAAGGAAAGTAAAAGAAAAACCGTCGTTTGAGTTGTGTTTGGAGGGTATCCCTCGCAGCTTTGGTAGTGGTGGAGTGGAGTGAAGTGAAGTGGAGTGTGGAGAGTGGCGTGGGGTGAAGTGGAGCACACGCTCAAACGAGTACGTCACCCCAGTTCTGCAGATCCGGAGACTGCCCAACCGCCCAGCTCCGCGCTCCGCGAGCGAGCGAGTGGTCCTCCAGGGAGCTGCTGAGAAGCCGCAGCTGCGGTCCCCCACTTTGCCGCACGCAAAGCCGACAGCCGCTGCTCAAAGGGAAGAGCTCCAGGCCCAGCTCCCTCGGGCAAGCGGCTCGTCCCCCGGTTTTGGGGCTGGGTTTAATGGAAACCAAAGGACAATCCACCCATGTTGGGGAAATTCCCCTTAAAAAAGGACATATACCCACTATATATATATATATACGGTGGGTGGACGAAATCCATGCCAGGCACCACTTGGGATTGATGAATAAGTGTAAATCATGCGACAAACCACCTACCAACCAGTGCACAAACATACTTGGAGTCTCCGGATACCCGGCAAAAATGAGGGGGCGAGGAGGGGGTGACCCGAGTAGCGGTCAGAAGCAGACTCGAGGGACTTCAGAAACTGTTGGGTTGAATTAAACGAATTGAAAGAGCCCCCGTCGTTCGGACGGTTGAATTCTGCATATTTGATGGGCGAAGAGGTTTGATATCAAAAAACGGTTGGGAGGCGGTAGTAGGTGGTAGGTGGTAAGTGATAGGTGATAGGCAGTTTATCCCACGACACGGTTTTGTGTGTGTGCACTGGTGTGTGCTCTGTTTAGGGGTTCTCACCGTCGATGCACAACATCTAGTTCACCCCACATTGGTGGTTTATCAGCCAGTATTCAGAGCGCTGAATGGTGCAAGATTCTCTCCACCCACAGTACTGTTAGAACTTAAGTCGTGAACCCCCTCTGAATGACGCCCGGTTTTCTTACTCATGTTGCCCCCCTATATATCCATCAACCCCTGTTTCTTCTGTTTAGTGGGGAATCATCACTTTTGGAGGGGCCCAAACCCCCCCCCCCCCCCATTAATAAACAGGTTGGTTGATTGATCAGGGGTGAAAATTAGTTAAGCTCCGACAGTATGGACTGCGGCTTAAACAGATTGGAACTTGATTCATGTTGACCCCACCATGTTTGTCCCAATGGACTTCAGATATGAGGTTAAGTCAACAACTTGATTCCACTTCCAATATTCTTACAATCCTCACTTTTGGAAGGAACCCCCGCCCGACCGGGAATTTAATAAACAGTCAGGTTGGTTCAAATTAAACATGGGGTCAAAACATGAATCAAGTTCCTAACATGACATCCACTTGGACTTCCGGTTTCGGATGCGCTCATCATCCAAGCTTGGTCGACATGGAAGGAAGGGGAGCCAAAATTTTAATTCTAGCAGTTAAGTGGATTTGGATTTCAACCACTAAACCACAATAAGCAACAAAGCAAAATGTTTCCCAACAACCATCCAGGGCGCCGCAGCGCTTCGGCGTCCACCTTCTCCGGATCCCCGCTCTTCGTCCTCAGCGGCGGCACCACGCAGAGCTCCAACCTGCCGCCGCGCGCTCGCCGCGCGAGCGCTCGCGACCGCGGCGGTGGCACGGGTTCCGAGGCGCGGAGGTGGGGCGGAGCCTCAAGCGACCCGTAAAACAAAGGCAAGGCACCCCAGCGTTTCGAGAGTTGTCTAGTGGCTGACACTTCCCCACATAACAACAGAACACACCTACTTGGTTTCTACCTCCATTCGCTTGAGTCCCCAGCAAAACAGTGACTATACTTCCAATAGCAACAGATTCCCTTTGAAACCGGCTGAGGAAATACACAAAATATGTTCAAGCCCACCATACTTGTGCAATCTTGGCCGATTCATTGGATGGCTTCCAGCATTTGCAAGGATCCACAGCCACCTCACACGGGGCGGTCTAGACTCATATCATAGACCCCTGGAACCGCCCACAAGAAACGGTGAAACTGGCGCTTGCCAGGAGGTTGAAACCTGAGAAGCGACTCAGCTACTTCAGGTTCGCAGCCTGGCCCCGAAGCCTGGTGACTGGAAAAAACAAAGCGAACACGTGGGGAAGCAGTTCAATTCGCTCCAATGGAAGCTGACAGGATGGTTTTGCTTAAAAGACACATTCCTTTTGGGGGAACTCCTTATCCAGGTCCATGGTCCATTGCTGCAAAAGGGATAAGCGGCTTCGGACTGTTCAACTCCCAAGCGTGGCAGCGGGACCTGGCGCCCATGTCGACACCCTCGATGTAGAAGGGGCACCTGGCCGGTGCTTGTCTGAGGGTACCCCTTGGGTTGGTACTTTTCTGAGGGTACCGATGCAGTTGGTTAGGGAAGCCAAGAGGACATCACGCATCAAAGATCCATGCCCTAGTTTGAAACAAACCCACTTCCTCTGGGACATTCAATGAATGAGAAATTCAGCACTTGGCTGAATGGCTTGGTTACAACATGGGGCTACAAACCTGCGTAAAGTGTTTGCCGGTTCACGCAAGTCGGAACCAAACTACCCGGTGGCGTGAGTCTAAGTCCAACTCGGGGTTGCTCGAAGCAAACCGCCCTGCAAGCATTCACCAAGATGATCTCGATGCTTACACGCACATACTCCCAGACACACAGACACAGACACAGACACAGACACTGACATTCACCCACACACACACACAGAGCCACACACACACACACACACACTTCTCTCACCTCTCACGGTCCTGATGTTTGTTCAACTCCGTCCATGCCGCTTGAGCAAAAGCATGTTTCCATCTGGTCCAGCTCATCTATGCCCCGAGCGGTGCCAGCATAGGTGTCCTTTTTGGCCCTGGTTTGCCCAGTGATTTCTTCATCTACCGGAGCCCATCCAGAAGGATACCTGTGGGTGCCCTGTGTGTAGCTTCGTTCTAAACCAGCAAAGTCGGGCCATCAGTCTGAGACTCACTCGGTCCATTGCCTGAATCCAAGCTTCGGACTCTCTTGCAATGTACCTCATCTAATCAGCTTCCCTTCAGTTTGCCCATCCAACAACAAACAGTGATGTCGAGGCACCTCCTAAAACCGTATGTTGGGTGTGTCTCAAAATACGTCACCAAGTATATATCACGTCCCGTTTCCCCCTCAAGACAACCCCCGAGGCAAGATCGCATAGCTAATGCACACATGTTTGTCGTGCGATTCTGACTTAATTTGTTTTCAACGCACCCACACCCCCATCATTTGACTCTGTTTTCTTTTTTGCGACTCCTCCAAGCTTCCGTCTTTCCTGTGGATTTCCCTTTCACCCCCCCCTGAAAAACGGGGTACCCCCCAAGCAAAAGACAGACCCCTTTCGGGCCCAATCTCCGCCTGCGCGCCGCGGGGCGGCTGAAGCTGGAGGCCTGCGGACCATCCTTGAAGCGCAGGCGCCCTGCCACCAGCACCTGGGAGCTGTTGGCTTCGTTGCTTTCGTCTCAGGTTTGGAGCCAAACAAGTCGGTGGGTTGGAGCCAAAAAATCGGTTTGGAGCCCAAAAAATTGGTTGGGAGCCAAACAAGTCGCTGGTTTGGAGCAAAAAGAAGTCGGTGGACAGTTTGGAGCCAAACATCGGCGGTTTGGAGCCCAGTTGAGGGAGGTTCTGGGATTTTGGCTTTTGGGCGCAGCGGAGCCCTCTGAGTGGTTGTTTGGAGCTTCCCGAACTGCAATCCAGTTCACCCAAGGGATACCCGGGTGAAACACTCCCAATCCTTCTGCAACAACTTGTGGAAACCGCCGGCCATGTCACCAATAGAAGCCCAAGGCCCTATTGGACCCACCGGACGAATTTCGAGGATGAAGTGTCGGGAAAGGTGTTGCATGGCGGCGCTTGAGCAATTTTTTTGTTCCATGGACAAACCGTGGGCCTGTGTCAAAATTGGCTGACCCCATTCCTGTTGCTTTCCCTTGACCTGGAAAGCGACCCGCCCATACTGTCGACCCCAACTGAATGAACCCGTCCCATTGACAAGGGGATGTCACAGGCAAAAGTCAGGGCCCGCCCAAAAATGGGGAACCCCCCTACTAGGTTAACAATACTTGCTAGTATTGTCCAATTCCCGTTGAACTTGCTGATCATGGAAAGGGGAATGATTGTTCCAGGTCACCCAGGAATGAAACGAAGGGGCAAGTTGTTGGACATGTCCAACAATTTTGAGGAGCTGTTGGCAACTCCCAATTAGAATGCTGGGATTCCCAGCTGCTGCGGTTCCAAAATGATAAAACTTGGGGTATTGCCTCCCGTTTGATGATAGAGATCAACAGTAGGTGAAGTGGTCTTGGGATGATGCAGAAAGTGGTTGAACCAAACCTGATTGAACCGAGGAGGAGGAGGCTGGAAATGACGCAGAATCGATTCAGATGTGTTGTGTAATGGATCTTCCAGCAGGTGTTCCATAGGTATATCTCAAAATCGGAAACCCTTTTCCAAGGAGTTTCAACGAGAATCCAAGAAATCACCTTAACAAACCCCTCATCGGTCTGGGATACTTGGAAGTCCTGGATGGGCCTTGATGCCTCGACAGTTGCCTGTCTTCCGCTCGAGTACGTCTTGTTTTTCAGGAACCTTCTGTGAGCGCAGCCGAGCCGCTAGTGAAATTGTGCTGGATCGCTGGATCACCGGAATCCTTGGCATCGGTGTCCACCAGGCGACGGGTTCGGCGTCGGATGCACTCTAATCAAACCAGACCTCGAAACCCGTGAAGTCTCAACGCAAAATGCACACGTCCTCCAGGCAAGTCGGATTATCGCTCTTGCCACTCTGACCTAGACAGACTTTGGGGGCAGAAGCTTCCGCTGATCACAACTCCTTTAGTACATCCGCACATCTCAAGCTTCAACTTAGGTCTTGCCAGCGAGTGGTACAGCTCTCTCATTTTCATGCCAATGGACAAGCATGAGAGGATCCAGGTTGTTCTCTTGGGGCCTGCACACAAATTGAAAGGCCGCTGCCAGCAACATGCGCTCGCAACCATAAACCTGCCACTTGCAGCTCGGCTGCAGCTCAGCTAGCCGTAGCTTACGCAGACTCACCTGCAGCAAATCACGGGGAAGGAGTGCCCGGCATCTTGACTTTGAACTGTTCAGGCTGTGACTTGCAGGTGGCTCAAGCCAACAATATCCATACACATGTGTGTATATACCCTCAACATCTCTTTCCCTAAAGGTGTAGATAAATTCTATATACATGATATGTATGTATGGATATATGGTTCTGGAAAACCAATAGCCATTAATGGGGTCTGTGTGTCTACCGGTGGACTCCACTGTGGTCCTTGTTGCATTGGTTCAGCTCATGCAAACAGAGCTCTGTTCTGCAGTATTCCCTACCGCTGTAGCTCGGGTCGGTGGGGGAGTTGTTGGTAACGCATTAGCCTAAGCCTTACTTCGAGGGGTTGGGGATTTGGGAAAACTGATAGTCATCCATGGGGTGCACTAAATAGGGCTGCTTTTAATGATGGGGACAAGAGGAACAACTTCTGCATCCTGCGTCAACAAAAAAACAAGTTCAAGGGTCGAGAGAAGATCCGGACGATCTGTCGGTTGAATGGTCAATGGGCATTTGGCGGATGCTCCCATTCAATCAAACAACTGTCACGCTGCTAGGAGCTGGCTGAATATGAAGCGCATGCTGTACACGTGCACATGTAAAGAGGGGCTGCCTGTCCAAACATCCCAAGATCTTGTTTGCAAGAACAACATGGGGTGACTTGAAACAGAACACATCTGGGTGTCTGTTGTTATTTTTCTTTTTTTTCGGGGACACCCCAAAATGGGTGGGCTTTCCTTCTGGCGTCCCTTTAAAGCCCCCCAAAAAATATCTGAGCTTTCGATACACCGAAAGCTCATCCGTCAAAAGGGTTTGCTCCCTAAGTATCCGAAGATGCACTCCGTTTTACCAGCTCCTAAAAAGGTTGGGTGTGAATTGTTCATGGGTCCAACCAACATGTGATGTTGGAAACCACCAAAGGGGACATGGGACGTATGGCCCAACGTTTGGAAAACCAATGGACATAGTTATTTATCTGTTTTTTTGGGTGGGTGGGTGGGTGGGTGGGCAAAAATGTGTTTGACGATATATAAATATACTTATGTACATACATATATATATATATAGGGAGGGGCAAAAAGATGTTGACGGACCCCGAGCCCAGCAAACTTAATGGCGCCTGCTGCGAGAGCTTCTCTAAGCCCGGCAGGAGCCAGCGGCTGTCTCTCTGCTCCTGGCTTCCCCCTTTTGTAGGGGTTGGGTTTGTAGGGAAACCCAAAGGCGAAGCTCCAAAAATGGGGGGGGGGGGGGTCTTAAAAAGACACACTCAGTTCTATTGACTTTGTTGGCTGCCTCCTTTGGTTGATTTTATGTTGGTTCTCCAAATGCATGGGAAAGTCCCTTTGGCCCTACTGGACTGCTACTGAGCAAAGGGGCAGTCATGATGGACCTTTTGTTCGCAACGCATGCAACCGCCACTGCTTCTTCCTTAAACGGTCTAAGAAGCCTTCGGGGTCACATTCTAGGTGCCTGGGGAAAATCGACACGCAACCCGATAATTGTCGAAGAAACTGACCTATGGACCTTCAGTTCGACCCAAGCTCCAAATCAAAAACCAGGGGGTGCTCCCAAAAAGCACCCAATTCCCCCAGACAACCGGACCCCAAAACCAAAGCAAGGGATTACCCCAGTCTCAGTCCAAAAAGCTCGAGGCGCACGGCTCAGCCGACTCAGCCGACTCACTCCTGCCCCGAGTGAATGTAGGTGACTGCAGCCGCCTCGACCTTACGGGTCGCCAACTTTCAGAACGCATCGTGTACCCAAAGAAGCGGCACATCACGCCACGATTTTGGAGCAGTGTTGTGGCAGACCTGTCCATGAGCAATGAGTTCTGAAACCGGTTCTGGGTGCGGTCGTTCTGTCTCTGGTTTCAAGCTGCAGCTTGAGTTCGCCGCCGAGCAAACGCCCCTCGCCGCTCTCCACCCTCCACCGAGCCCCTCGTGCGTGCCATGACCCACCATGCTCCTGTTGCCCATGTTCCTTCATCAGTGATCCTTTGTTTGCAAGAGGTTCCCCATTGAACTTCCTAGCAATTCTTCCCTTTGAACATCACCCAAAAAGGAAACTCACTCTAAATTGGCGCTTCCAAAAGGTGAAACTTAAACGCACCCCAGGAAACACAACTCGGGACCACCCAAGAGCACATAACTCAGTGCACCAAATCGGAATTGTCGAATTCGCCAACGGAATGAACCAAGGGTTCTTGCAGTGAACTGGTTGAGATCGCCTCGCAAACCACCAGTTGCAAGGCTTTGGTCGGGGTTATTCCCTCATTCCCTGCCTAACCCAGAAAGAGATGGTGAACATTCTCATTGGTAAGGCCTTCGGGTTTGGAGTGTCTTCTCAGGGGACCCTCAGAATGACAGGGTTGTCCTTTTTGGCTGTGCTTTACACAGCGGCCAACAATGAGTACCCGAAAAAGAAAAACCAAAACGACCACGCCCACAAGTTGAAATGCTTGGTTGGTTGGTTGGTTGGTTGGTCGGTTCTTCAGTTGGGCTTGTTGGTTGCTTAGTTAGGCTTTGGGTGGTTTGTTTGGCTTGGTTGGTTCGGTGGTTGGCTGGTTGGCTGGGTTGTTTGGCTTGCTTGCTTGCTTGCTTGCTTGCTTGCTTGCTTGGTTTTTTGCTTGGTTGCCTGGTTGGTTGCTTGGTTGATTCGGCTTGTTGGTTGCTTCCTTTGGCTTGTTTCTTGGTTGGTTGCTGTCCAGTTTATTCCTCGCGCCTGGCAGAAGTCCGGCAGCAGCAGGCCCTCGGCGCGGCTTCCGAAGGCCCGCAGGCGGTAGACGCTGCCCCGGGCCTCGCTGTGGGCCCAGTGGTGGCCCTCCAGGCCTCGGCGCTTTTCCGGTTCCCATGGCTTCGGCCAAAACGGGCGTCGGCTTTTTGGAGTTGGTGCCCCCGTTTTTTGGGGGGTCACTGGATTTCCCCAAAAGTTGAGCAGTTTATGGGGAGTGCAACTTAACGCTCTTGGATGGTGTTGCTTGAACATGTAACTCGGAACTCAGATTCTTTTCAAAGATTTGGTTATCTCCGTGCTGCCCCCTTCTTTTGGGGTCACCGGAGTTCCCCAAATTAACAGTTGATCAGCTTATGGGGGCGTTCCATTGAAACGATCGCCACTTTTGGAGGTTCCAAAAAGGGACATGGAGGAAACCCTGCCTTTTTTGTGTGATTGTTTTACCGGAAGCCAAAAGGAAAACTCACCCATGTTGAGGGTCCCAAAAAACAGCACACGCAAACCTCGTGAGGCTTATTCAAGACTGGTACGGATTAAAATTATTAGAACAGCCTGCAGAATCACTCATTTTCCCATAGGCTAGGTGTGTTTTTTGAAGTTGGTACCCTTTTCAGGTGGATGTAAAGGAAAACCAAAATAAACCACAATGACACCGTCATTTTGGGGGTCCCCTGATTTTGTACGACCGTTGATGGACAAAACCCACTTTGCACTTGTTGTTCGGTGGTTTTGCCCAATATGTCCAAGCATTTATCCATACCAGGAGGTGCAGGTGTTTGTCCATTCACAGTATGAGGCGCTAAATGGTTGCTTCGTAAATTACTCAATTTGGCTTTAAAGTACCCCAAAATCACCGTCTAGTTATTTCGGCCCTTGCACCAGGTCTCAGAAACATAGTTGACAGTGGTAATTGTTGGCACAGTCAGATGGACACGTGCTCACGTAAATACATATGCGCAGAACCTGGGGACATCAACCCCAGGTTCAACACCCCTTGAGAAGCGCCGCCGCGGAGCGCACAAACTCCTCCGGCACCGGCACCAGTTGCAAGCCCTCAGCGGTCTCTACGTGCGGCAAGGCACAGGGGTCCTGGCTGGCTAGGACAAGTGGGTCTGGCTTGTCTTTTGTTTGGAGTTGGAATTCATTTTTCGTCTGTTTTAAAGGGAAACTAAAGGAAACCCGCCCATTTTGATTTGGCCCCCCCCCAAAAGAAACAGCCTCAAATGGGGACCAGGGCCTGGTTTTGGACATTTGGCACGTGGCAAGAACAATTTTAAATTGGGTGTTTTTCAAAATAGGAATCGGTGTTTTTTTTTTGTGTCCCCTCAAACGCCAACTAAATGCGGCACCATGTTGACAAACTCCCCAATGAGCAGCGCTCGTTGCACTTGACTTGGTTCTAGATGGTCATAAGGCTGTGGCTGAAAAAAGTGGTACCAACATGGCACCCTGGTAAGTGGAACCAAAGACTAAAACCCGCGTAACCCAGCTCTTTAATTTTGAGCCATACCCACAAAGGGGTACAGGCCTCACTCCAAAACCTCGTGAAACCAAGCTGTAGAACCGCCTAGCAACATGGCATCTTTGGGGTGTTGGGCGCTATAGGTAGCTTGAGTCCAACAAATGGGTGAGTTCATATGCCCACTAGGCCTTTCCTAGCATTGTCCTGAAGATGCTCTTTTTGCCCCAAAGGACCCAGAGATACAAGATTACCCGCCATGGACAAACAAATCAGAAGGGGCCAAGGGCAAGTGACCAAGCCTGTGATTCCGTTTCCCTGCATGATAGTAACTATAAGGGAACCGCCCTTCGATAAAGCTTGGCTGACGTTGGAAGGGGAGCAACAAAAATACAATTTAGCAGTTAAGTGGATTTGGACTTCAACCACTAAACCACAATAAGCAAAAATGTAAAATGTGTCCCAACAACAACCATGAAAGGACAATGGCTGGTTTCCAAGGTGACCGGGATCGAAGTACTCAAGGCTTTGACAGTAAGCATTCTGCTGATCGCGGGTCACTTTAGACGCCGCGAAGCCACATTGGATGAAATTCCAGGTACGCCACCAAGCAAAAGCTCGATACAGGCCATCTTCCGTTCTAACTTGGAAATTCAACAATCTCAAAACAGTTGTCCGCCTTCAGTGTTGGGGATGCTGAGGCTCTGTGCAGCTGAAAGGGGAAGGTTATGCCAAGATCCCGTCCGGTCAGTCCGAAACACTTGCAGGCTTCCGCAACTCCACCAGGGACTTGTCTATATCACCTGGCAAATGGTGACTTCAACATGGACATGTCTCCTTTTGTTGTTGTTCTGCCTTTCAGTGACCCAGGCAAGAAAAATACAATATGTTGGGGTTGCACGTGCAGGGAACTGTGAGGATCAGTGGACTGTCCTGGCTCATCACCAGCGGCATGGTCCGGGGATTGCCGCCCGCCTCGCAGTCGAATGTCACCACGGGCCATGGGTTTTGTCGAAAAAAGGGGGGAACCCCAGGCCGACGTTCCTGCTGATCTCCCTTGAACCTGAAAAAGGGTACTCTCCAACAACAACCACAGCAACATGTTTCTCCCAGGCAGCTTAGTTCTTAGTTTTTTACAGCATCACAACCCCACAACCTCATTCAAATTGTTTGAAAGGCTAATGTAGCGGGGCACCCAAGTTGGCCCCAATGTCTGGAGGATTAATGGTGTGTGTGTGTGTGCGTGTGTTTCCTCATATGTGAAGGATGCCCTTTCAAATGGAGCACCGGTGTAAATCAAGGCGGTTATTTCTCCTGGGTTCTTATTGGGGAGTAAATCAAAGACCCAGGAAATGTTGAGGAGCCTTCTTGGAAGAGGTTATTAGAATTCTATGAACCTTTCTGGGGCTCAAGTTTACCATAGCCAGCCAGCCAGCCAACCTGTTACACCACTTGAGCTGCCGCCGAAATCATTATGTGCCACACTCGAATATCTCTAACTTCTTCATTTTAAAGACTCGCCTTTGTTCTCGTATAGTCTTCAGGTTACTTCCCATGAATCGCACTTCAACAGAGCCAATATTTGCAAAAACAAACATTCGTGAACAAAAAGCTTTGTTTTAGACTTCGTCTGGCCTTCGTTTTGAAGACCTGCTCGCGCCCTGAATAGTGGCTCAACTCAGTTGCCCAGTTTGGACCGAGAAATAGAAGGTTAACCTTTTGGGGCCATGACTCAAAATGGTCCAACGAGGAGAAACTCAAAGGTCCAAACTTGGCGCTCAGGGAATGACCTTCCGGCTGGGAAGGAACCGTGGGATTCCCCACCAAGCCCAAAAAACAGTTTGATCTTTTTGTTTCTTGGGGGTACTCCAATTGCCTATGTCACCAGGAAAAATTCGATTCGCTGGCATCCAAGTCGCGGCATCCTGCACCTCTGCGGACCACCACTCCGACCACCTCGGATTCGCGCGGATTCGCGGATTCTGTTTTGGGACACGCGTGGCTTGTCCCTGGGCCATGACCCGAAACCTATCGAAGATGATTTCCACTACCCCCAAACCATGGATCCCCCAAACCACTATACCCCCAAGATGGATAAGATCTGATATATCCTTTATGTAGTAAAGTGGCTGCATATCCCATGAACCCCCTGAGGGTAGTGGTTTCGGGGTAGCTGTAGGAACCTGACCCCTTCAACTCCCAGAAGGTGGATGAACCCCACCTCCAAACCTAGGATTGCATCAGCTTTCCTTTGTTCATCATCATTGTTCAGGGGCAAAGATGCCCCGGATGCATACCAAACGCCCCAGGTAACCCAAATGGAACCCTTCAAAGTGATTTGGGGGCGGAAACCTTGTAGAAACCTCCAAATGTTGAGCCCCCCCCCCCAAAGAAACTGCGTGGTGTAGCGGAGACCATCTTGTACAAGCCTCCAAGGTTGAACCACCCCAAAAGAAACCGCGAAACTCCAAAAACGGCCCCAAACCGAACCTGGGTCATAAAAACCTGGTATTAAACTGAACGGCGGCCGCATGCGGCCGCACCCTGTGGCTGGGACGGTCCATAATCTTAACTCATGGAGTCCCTGGGCGTACAAGGGGGGGTTCCTTCGGGATCCCGAAACTTGTTTTTTGTCGGGAGCCTTGGGAACCTCCCTTTGAATCGACCCCCCCCAGCAGGTGAAGAGTCTACATCATGGTGAATTCACTTCCCGGGGTTTTGACTTGCTGGTGCGACAAATGGCGCCTATAAACCATCCAACTGGTGGTTTCCTTTAAGGGAACGCCTGCGTTCATTCCCAACACCCTGGGTCATTCCCTGCCTATCGCACCAGCATTGACCTTTGTAGTTTCACCTTGGACCATTTTGAGTCTTGGCCCCAAAGGTTAACCTTCTGTTTCTGGGTCAAACGGAGCAACTGAGTTAAACCATGATAAACGAAGGCCGGATGAAGCATAAAACGAACCATTTTGTCCATGAAAGTTTGGTTTTGCGAATATTGGCTCTGTTGACCCTGGAAATCCACGACTGTTTTTTTAACGTCCTTTGCACCTCGCCTGTTTTTTGCCGCTAAAGCCTGTTTTTTGCGCCTGCAGTGAGCCATGGCGTGGTATTTGATGGATTATTCATGCTGTTGCCACGTTTAGATTGTACAAAGCCAGTTCCACCCCATCATGTCTTGACACAACAATTTTGGTGTGAACATAGCTGTCCGTCATGTACGCAACAGTAGCGTGAAATCACCGTGAAAATACCGTGAAATTGGCGTGAAAGCCTGCTTTCCAGCGTGAAAGCACGTTTTCTGCCGTGAATTTTGACACCGGTGAATCTATGTGTTTCAGCATGTCCTTTGATAATCCCGCCGCTTGCTTTGTGGCAACGGAGGTCAAGTCTTTGCACACTTTGGTCCTGAGCACGTGCGGCGCCTGAATTGTTCAATGATATCAGCTGAGCTTGGACACAACTACTCCTGGCAAAAAAAAAACGCCTTTCACAGAAAACATGCAAAATAAACCGCCTTTGGAACCCCAGGGTTGAAGTACGATTCATGAGCGGTAGCCCGGGTTCCCGAAACGAGTTCGCCGTAGGGAACCTTGAATTAACCAAGCCTCCTGGGCGGGACTCCATGGGACGGGGAGGGAGGGTACCTAGTACCTAGTACCTAGGCTTCGTCAAAATTCATTAGAATTCCTTAGGGGCCCTTTAGGGAGCCTCAGGAATTCGCGGAATCGACCACCCCCCCGGTTCCCCTTTAAAAAATGGGTCCATGACCCCATTGTTTTGGGTAGTGACCAACCATTTTTGATTCGGGTCAGATCCGGAGACTCCAGGTTTTAGTCTATACATATGTATTTTTCTCAAATACATATGACCCCTCCAGGTTTCGGTGCTTCCTTTTGGTTGCCCTTTAAAGCTATCCCAAAATTCACTTCCCCCGGAGGACGCGGCTCGCCCTCGTCTCCTGTGGCTCACCCCCGCGCCTGGTCTCCCAGGCCCCAGGCCCCGCTCTGCGCGCGCCCAGGCCCAGCAGCGCAATCAGCGCTGGGTCCAGGTGCTGGGCCCCCAGCGCCAGCTCGTCCTCGCCCGCCGCGTTGTTTTGTTTTTGTTTGTCCTTTCCGTTTTGCGCCGCGGGGGTAGCGGCGCAGACGGTTTTTCGGTCGGAGTTGGCAATTGCCCGCTGGAAAAGCCGCTCATTTCCGGTTTTCGCCGTGGGGTGTCTCGTTTGTTTTTGGTTGGAGTTGGTCATTATCCGTGGGAGAACTGGGTTTTAATTACAAGGAAACCCAAAGGATTCCGTAATTACATTTGTTTGGCGGTTCCTCATTTTTTGACAGAACCAGCTGGGTGTTTTGATTTTGTGTCACCCTTGGCTTGGGTTCAAGGGGACAAAAAGGACACCGTTGCCATTTTGGGGGCTCCAATTCCTATTTTGAGACAAACTGACACAGGGTTGATGTTTCCCGAACAGAGGATCCCAATAGGGGTACTCCAAGCTGTCCGGGGCCCAAATGGCCCACCCCGGCTTCTGACTCGGTTGATGGAACCATCATCGGAACAACTTTCAAAGGCGAGTTCCTGGACAAATGCAGTTTCTGCCAAACGGCCCGCTGACTTTTGATACACGCGCGGCGGAACATATTGCATTTGCGAGGCCGGAGTTACAACGCTCTTGCAACAGCATAAACAGAAAGCGGGTCTCACAAAGTGGATTGACACATGTTTCTCCTGAACATCGGGAATGATCTGTTTACATAAGGAATCCCTTCAAAGGTTGCAATGTGCCACTTGTTGGGATCCAACAATCCAGCAACTGATTGAGGTCCAAAAAGGGGAGATTCGGGGTCCCTCAAGCTCTAAAGTCCACTATACACTAACTTGCGGACTTTCATCTTTACCACTCCGAAACCAAAGCTTTCGTTCAATAGCCTGAAACCACAACTTGTGTATTTACCTCTGGACCGGGTTGTCTTAAACTAGGGAGGTCTGCAAACATGCGGTTGTTTCTTTGGCTCACCTTAAAAACCACCCTGAAAGGTGCCCAAACATCGACACCACCAATTTATTTGCAGTCCAGAAACTATCGGACAAGTTAGATGGTTTATTCCCTCTGAAAGGGCATAGTCATAACTCACACACACACGCCCACATACACACACAAACACAACCAGAAACACAAGCACAAACACGCAAGCAAACGAACAAACAAACAAACAAACAAACAAAAAAAACACACAAACCAACAAACAAACAAACCAACCAACAAACAAACAAACAGACAAACAAACAAACAGACAAACAGACAGACAGAAAGACAGACAGACAGACAAACAAACAAACAAACAAACAAAGAAAAACACCCGCACTCTCTGTCTCTCTCTCTCTCTCTCTCTCTCTCTGTCTTACACACACACACACCACGCACATCCAAATGTACTCATGCGATGATCATGGTTCCCTTCCTAGGAACCCTTAGAATGTTTGACCAAGATTCCCATTGAACCTGCCATAACCGTCCCTACCAATTAAGAAAAAGGGTGTGTGTGTGTGTTTGAGCATGGACATGTGGAAACATGACGCCTGTGACACCAAAGCGGCTGACACTCATCCATGAATAACTTCAAACCATTTTCAAAGGTGAGAGATCCTTATTGCAAAAAGTGGCCACCAAGAGAAAGGCCGTGTGACTATGACACAAGCGAGATCGCGCTTGGCTCCAGCACATCTAGCGCTTTGAGGAGCGCTTGCTGCCGCAGAATGCCCACGCGGCTCTCAGCAACGCCCCCGGGGCCAGTGCGCCGCACCATGGTTACCCCAGGGCACTAATATTTTTCTGCTCCTTTGCCGGCACTTTGTTGCCCAAAGGCGAATTTGGCAGATCTTTGTCCACTAAAGCTGCGGCTTGTGTGGATTACTAATATATGTTCAGCACAGGTTGGGGGCTGACGATCCTTTGGTGCTTTATGGGGGCGTGCAACAAATCCCACCTGGTTCAGAGATTGTGGGAGAAGCGAGATCTGTTTCGTGATGCTGAGGGCTCTTTGATCGCATTGCTTGATGTGGCCTAACCAATGTTGCACGGCCCATCTCTGCACTTCTGCCCAAAACAGGGAGCATATGCCAAAATAAGTGACCCCTAAGTGCTTGTCCTTGGGATTCCCTGTGAACCAACCGCAAAACGGGTACCCCTGAAAATGCCACGCACACACAAAAGCAAAACACTCCATACTAACGAGCTGGTCTGGGGCGGACCTCGAGCCATTGACAAGCAGTTTTGATCAGCCCACAGAGTCCATAGGAACATCCTCAAACCTGCCCTGTAAATGGCGGCAGGGGGAACCACCCCAAAGAAGTCCGTTCACCATACTTTCTGCTATCAAACGTGACTTCCGAACTAGACCACAACCAAAGATGAGCGTCACTGGACGGATGGCGCGACGTGGGTACTCTATGGTGAGTCCGCTGTGTCCGTTTGGAACAATATAGTTTGCGTCGCTTCTTGCTCACGAGCCAGAGGGTTGAGCACAAAGTTGAGCAGCATCTGCTGAGGCAGATATATCCTCAGGACCAGACATTTTGGGCATCCTATCCACAACACTACACAACAGCTTTCCGTTGAGATTTCACAGCAGCTGGCTTGTCAAAGGCAGTTTGACCTGAAAGTTGCGAGCCCCTTGCCTCCATTCCTAGAAATTCAGCTCCCTTTTGGGACCATCAACCAATCCTGGGTGTAAGTCCGCCTTGCGGTGATCAACAAATGAAAGCCTAAGTGGCATACTGCTGTTGTTGCTGTTTTGACCCCTTGGCAGAGAAGCGTGTCACGCGTGGCTTCCCATTGCCAAGCACAAAACAACAGATTGATTCTGTTCTATATTCAGCAAACCTCAACATGAATAAGACTAAACCTTGCAGTTGGCTGAAAGTAGATGGCACAATTGCCTCATCTCAAGTATCCTTTAATGATCCCCTTTGCTGACCTAGGGAATTCTGCCATTTACCTGATGTAGAATCAATAAAACACAAGACAAATCTCTCAAACATACCACCTGACAAGGGGATCCCCAAGCTTTCAGGACCTTCCTCATGGCTCTCGGTCTTTAAGTGAGCTCGCTGTAAATTAGGCAAGATCCCAGTGGCTCATCGCGGCATGCAATCAACTTCTCCGAAGCCCCCTGGGCCCCTGGGGGCGGTGCAGCATACGACACAACTCCCCAGACCTCAGGTGGCAGCTCCTTGAGACCCTCGAAATTGGTGGCTTTCCTTTTGTTCCATTCAAAACCAGCCCGCACAAGGTACCACCAAAGAAAGGCGCAACCACAGGGAGTTGTGTAAAAAATGGGAATCGTGTTAACAGTTGACCTAATCACGGTTGTTCCCCGTAAGGAGGTAACCTACTTTGCTAAATTGCTCTGACTGGTAGAGTCCTGCGCAACTATCCGAAGTTGACCTTGTGAACTGCATGAACCAATTTGGGGTTGTCGTGGAGGCAACTACTTGTGTTCAAACAGCTTCACGCAAAACACACACACACAAGTGAAGAATGCCCAAAGAAACATGCAGCCATGGCTTGCCTCCTCTTGCTCCCAGTGCCAAACACTTGCCTAATTGAACTCGATCAAATGCCAAGCGCTCTCGTCTGCAACGGCCCACTAGTCATTGAAGGCCAGTTCCCCCTTTTCATACAACCCCACATAGAAATGCGACAAACTAGCAAGGAAAGTTGAGGAAACCAAGCATTTGGCAGGATCCCTAAGGCTTTGACAACTACTTCTTTGGATGAACTTGCTAGGAAGTATGGATCTAGGAAAGGCTCAGAAATACCAAAGTATGCCATGCCACGAACATCCAAGATCGTTCGCTCTATCAAAGCCGCTGCAGCGAAAGGAGCAGCAGCAAAACATCAGGAATCAAGAGAAGCGGAGAGATAGCAGCCAGCAACTAGACCAAACTCCCACCAGCTGGGTCTTGCTTGGTGGCAATACCTGCGCAATAACTTGTTCTGCTCGCTGTTGTTGCTTTCCCTTCAGAACCCAAGATAACTCTATAGCTCGCAAGCAAGTTGCATGGTGGCATCGCCGCATACAAACCCGCCCTCGCCATCTGAAATTATAGGTCAACGCATTTACATCAAACTTTGCAATGAACATTGTCAGGTTGTCACCAGGCTTTGGCAGCTTTGGCTCGTACTTTCTCAGGTACTTGAATCCATTTTTATCCCTCAACCATCCTCAAAGGGTACCAAGCAAGCTGCAACTGCAAGAAAAGAAACCAATCACGGGAAACGGCCGGGTTCTTGAAAGGAACACTTGCTTTGAAGAGGGAATTGAACCAGTAGAACACTTGCTTTGAAGAGGGAATGAACCATTCCTCAATAGACTCCCCGAAGTGATACAGTTCTCGGACTGACCGATGGCATGGCATCGGAACTCTGAGAGCTCCGCTGCATAGCTCGCCCGAAGTTCTTGGCTGGGATCGTCATGACCTCCCGGCTCGGCTTTGGGTACCCCTCCGCACTTCGCATCGAGTGGATTGGCCAAGAAACGTCTCAGCGCCTGCAATTGACCACCAAAATGGTCTGCTCCTAGAAAGCGGATACTTCTGGGAAAGATACTGTAAATCACGAACCGGAAAGTCATCAGTAATTAAGGGACCGTGAAAAATCATTCGCCCACGTCGCCCACCATATATCCTAACATCTTTATTATCCTAACAAGACATTGCGCAAGGCTAGAAACTTGGTCCGTTGGAAAGGACAACGATTTGCGGTTTGGCCTTTGAGGTTTGGAGAAATCAAAGAAATCCATGACCATCCCACCAACCAAGTGGAACGGGATTTTGGCCCATGGCACATGTTGAGCAATCCCCAGGCCACAAACAGATTTCATGAAAACCTTCGAAAAGGAGAATACTTCCCGTCAAACACATCATTTGAGACACTGGGAAAGTTGGTGAGTCCCCCTAGCACTTGTCCCCATGCGGGGCCCCTCCCACATAAACCATAGACCAAAGAGGACATGTTGACCAAACATCATTCGGATCCTTCCAAATAAACTGGTCACATTGCCTCTACCAAGGCATACTGAGGGATCATTTGATCACACCACAACTTTCAACCAATACGTAGGGAGTGTCTTTTGCCATAATGCCCGTTTTGGCGTGAACTTGAAGGGAGTCAAATATCTTAGACACACGCATATCCTATTTTTCACAGTAGCTTTAAGGTCCAGGAAAGAGAACATGGGAACACTGGTGGGCCGTGGTTTTGTCGTTGAAATTCAAAGCTCGTCCCCCTTTCTCTCCCAAAAGGATCATGAGCAAGACCAGAAATTTCGACCTAACCCCGTTAAATCCTTCTACCTAAACGTCTTTTGGCCTGAAGGACCAAACTGTACCACAAACTAAACCGGAAATTAGAACCTAACCTCACTTAAATCCGACAAACATATATGTTTAAATCCCACAAATATATGTTTCAATCCCAACAAAATCGTTTAGGCCTTGACCAAACTTGACCCTTGGATCCCTTCCAGTTGCCTCGCGTCCGTTTTCTCCGCGCCTCCGCCTCACAGAAGGCGCTCCCGGTGGCCTCTGGCTCCAATGCCGCCACCTCAGAAACCGGGCGATCGACTTTCTGAGGCCGAAGGCCTGGGCAAAAATTCGGGGAACTTCGGGCTTCAAACCGGCGAAATTCGCCTGGAACCCAAAAAAGCCGGGGAGGACGTGGGTGGGTGTTCTTTTTTTGGGGGTACCTTCCAAAATGGGGGGGGGGGGAAGCTTCTGAAAATGGTGAGAGGTCCTTGTGTTTGCGATTTTTGGGGGAACCCTCAGGTTCCGTGTGGTTTCCCTTTAAGACAGCCCAAAAAGGGGCGCCCTCCAAACGAGACAAAACTACACAGGAACGAAAAGACCCAAGGAACGCACAGAGTAGTCTGGGGTCCGACAACTCTGACACAAAGAGATACAGAGCAAAAGAAGATGCCAAGCAGCAAAGCCGAGCGACCAAGCGAATCAACCAAACCCAGTCAACCATAAAATCGAGCATCAACTCATCAAACTGAACCTACGAATCATGCCAGCTTCGGGTTTCCCTTCCAAACCGCAGACTCTTTTTTGTACACACCAGGGTGGCGCCACCTGATGTGAACGTGGCACTCGTGCCTATAGGAGCCCCTGCTTTTGGGCACATCAGCAAGAAACACCTGGGAAGAGCTGTTGCACGAAACGGTGGAAGAAACCGCAGCTTTCGCCAGAAAACACGACGCCCTGCCATTTGCACCCATCTGCATCAGCTGTTGTCCGTCTTCTGTGCAAAGCTTCGAGGTGCACAACTGCAGCTTACTAGGCGCCTTCTAAACTCAAACTGCAAGGGGCAAAGCTGCAGCTTGCTGTGCCCAATTGCAACAAAGGACTTGCCAGCATCGTCGATGCAAAAGCCGTGCACGCAAAAGCCGCCGAAACAAGGGCTTTCTTGTTTGCTGGTTTTTGCTTCGTGAGTGGCAATCCCCCAGGCGCTAAATCAATTGTGAAGGCCATTACCCCCCCCCGGTCACGTTGGCCATGAGTCTCTCTGTGACAGGCAAGCATGCGCTGCGCATGCTGTCGGCAGCGCTATGTGAATGATGCTCCAGTGCTGTAATGACATACAAGAGAAAACTGCCAAAAACGCAGGGGCTCTATTGGCGCGGGTACCCTAAACTGTTACGACGCAATCAAGTGAACAACCTCCTCGTGGTTTCCCTTATGGGGCCAGGGCTCGGTTTGAACAAAATTTGTTTAAACCGAGCCCTGGCCCCATAAGGGGTAGGTGTAACAGGTAGGGGCACCCCTGAACTGATTCTTGGTTTCCTGGCTTCCTGCTAAAACCAACCCAAACGGCGCCCTCAGAAAATTACACGCTCTCACTTAATGCGCAGCACCCAATACCTACCCATTGGTAAGGTTGCTTTTGCATCCACTTCACTTCTCTGGTTTAGGAATTTACGCCCGGGTTCCTAGAAGACCAATAAGAAGGACCCTGGTGAACATCAAAATAGGTGGCAAATGGATGTTCATCCAGCCATGCAAAACCAGGTATAAAGTAGAACCTGCCAAAATCGGGCCGGGGGTTTTGGGCGCCATGTTGCAACATGAAACACCCAGCTTCCGACTCTCTTAGCTTGGCGCCACCAATGGCAAGAGCAAGCGCCGGCCAATGCAAGAGTCAGGCCTCCGCTATTGCCGCGAAGGACATTTCGCGAAACCCCGGTAGTGGCAAATGCTTTTTTTGGCGGAGAAGATAAAACCCATCTTTAGCCATTGAGGAGAATCCTAAGCAGCTGCTTTGGGTTGGAATCTGTTTGGGAAGCAGGCCGACCCTCTTTCCATCATGAAAGTGGATGTTTTGGGAATTCCCAAAGGAAAGCTTTCGTCTTTCAAAGCCCGCCGAACATGGACGATTGTGATGATCGAAACCCGGATCGCACCAGGTAGGTGGTTTGTCGGTTTGCACCAGGTAGGTGGTTTGTCCATGTTTATCGCAATATGCATGGGGGTTCATCCATCCACCACGGAATTCTAACAATTTGTCCAGCACAGTAGTTCCAGAGGAATCTTTTTCTGGGGACCCCTGTTTTTGGGCTCCATGTTAAGATGGGGAGGCTCCAAGTGGTTGAGCTTTTATTGAAGTTATCCTTTACAAACCAAAAAGAAGGTTAAGTATTTTGAGACACCAAGTAAGCGATAGGACCGCAACCACTTCGGGCGAGCGCTCTATCGCCACGGTCCATGTTCACAAGGGTCACCAGTTTGCACCCACGGACGTTTCTTGGGATATTCATGTTCTCGAGGGGTAACGACAATTCATCTACACAAGGCTCCTCTCACCCCAGCAACTTTTCTTAGAGCCCTCTTAGAATGAATTCATGGAAAGGGTTGACCTTTGTGCGGGGTGGAGGGGCCCTTATCACTCTCCCTCTATGAAAGATTTACCTTTTGGGACCTTTGCCAAAACATGGACCAAACAGGGGAAACCAACAGGTCAAAAGGCCAGCTTTGGGCAACTGAGTTTAAGGATTGCCTATGGATTACCTGTGAACAGTGCCAAAATAAGCATGGGGCGTGGGGCACACGCACACACCCAACAACTCGTCGATGCCTCCCGAATCCCAACCACGAACGCTTTTGTCGATTCGCCCAGTCCATGCGCACATCCTACAGGCTGACTCAGGAGCGGCCGCAGGAAAATTCCCACCAGGGTTTTTTGTAATCATGGGCTCCCATCAATGGAGCCATGACCCATTGGAAATGATTGTTAAAAAGCACCCCGCATCATGGGTGAGGTGGCACACACCCTTTGTGAGGGCGCTACAATTTGCGCAAACAATGTGTGTCACTTTGAGCCGCTCCAGCGGAAATCAGCCGAGGCATTGACCCGTTTGGCCTGCCAGTCGAGTCTAGATGGTCCATGTCCAAGATTTAGCCGGGTGCTTCTGAGCAGCAAATGGTGGTTGCAACATGAACGGCTCAAGAATGCTCAAGATGCCATATCCTGGTTGAGGTGAGGCATGTCACAAATAATGTTTAAGGCCTGGGCTATGTAAAAAGAGTCTGCCACCGGAAATATATATATATACATAATAAGCACGACCTGCACATACAGACACTCACACAGATATTCACACTCACACTCACACTCAGACTCACACTCACTCTCACCCTCACACAAACACTCTTACAGATATACACACACATGCACCCATGCGGCATTTGCTAAAGAACAAAACAAGACTTCAACTCTCGGACGTGGCCCATTCGGTGGAAGGTTCCGGCTCAAGTGCCGAGCTGGCTTTCGCGTCCTTCTGTGGTTTACCTCATAGCCTGGAGGTGGACACTCTTGTTTATGATGGTTGTTGCCAATGTCGAAACTCCTGCTGGTTTCCATGATGTGTGAATCACCCCATGGACATGTAGTGCAGACTCCCGCCCCAGTGCTCATGCTGCCAGTGGCCAGTCGGAACCTTCTTGCAGACACGACGTGCGCCCTGGCTCGCCCTCGCCGGCCTTGTGAACATGAATGTGATCCGTGTATTATCAGCCCGAACCGGAAGGAGACCAGCCATGGGCTCCCTAGCTTCAACAACTCCTGGCACGAAGCACCTCCCAATCATCCCCTGGAAACTGGGAAGCCTTCGACCAGACTTTGGCGAGCCAAAGTGATCACCCTGCCAAACGGAGCGGGCACGGAACCGGGCAAGCTTCCATGCCTCTTCCCTCAGTTGGTGACCAGAAAACCCGCCCATTTTGGGTGTCCCCGAATTTTTTGCGCACGCGAAATCCTAAGTTTCAAAGAAGCTGCACCAAAACGAGCTCAACGAAAATCACGAGCAAAGCCGATGGCATCTCTGCTTCCATTCAGCTATAGACCTCTGATGCCAGTTTGTGAGTAGCCTCTGTCTGTCAAAAAAGGTGTGTGTGTGTGTGTGTGTGTGTTTCTTTGAAGTGACCCTTTTCAGGTTGGCTAAAGGGAAACCAGAAGGAAAACCTCACTTTCTTTGGAGCCCCTCTATTTAAAGGGAACATCAGCATTTGCGGAATAAAAAACCTTCACATACGCAAAATGTGGCACGTCCAACAGAAGCTGAGAGAATCTCGGCGGTCCACAAAGACCACTATCATTGCCAAACAGGAAATAAGGAAACAGCAGGTACCTTATCATGGAGCTCTATTACCTCCAGGTGAGCTTGTCCTAGTTTGCCCAGATCTTCCTTTTTAGGGGGAAGGGTTGCACAACAAATACCCTTTTTGTGGAATTCACAATCTGCTTGCATTAGTGGCCAGTGTTGCATTCCAGTCCCGGTGCCGGTTTTCAACCGCGACGCTACGCGTCTTGTGTCATACAACCGCATCGCGCCGACAGAGCAGAGGGGTTGCCCGCCTTTGCACACCTGTGGACCTGTGTATATATATATATATATATGTATGTATGTATGTGTGTTTGAAGGAAGACCCCTTCAATAGAATGGAGGGGAAGGAACGCTACCAGTTGCGGGGTTCCCCTACTTTGACTCCTGCACACCTGGACATGCTGTCACAATCTGTCACAGAGGCCAAGCCTGTGTTTGTCCTCAAGACTATTCAGTTGTCATGTGAGTTGGACATACTTCACTTCCATCTTTTCTCTACTCAGATGCTTTCGTCGTTTGCCTCTGTGAAGGCGCGTGCAAGTCCAATGCCTCACTTTCCCCAGACCTAGGCAATGATCCAACGGTCAACCGTCAGGCCAGAACCTGACGTGGAACGTGTCCTGGTTTGGACCATGTTCCAAACTTTTGAATTTCCAAAACGGACCTGTCAGGTTCCGGCTGTGATAATTGGTGCGAGGGTCATTCAATCTGCATGAACAGCGTAGGTTCCAAACAGCGCCTGCCAATCAGCATGGAACCCGAAAAGGCAACAAGGCGATTCCTCCAAAAGCTTGTTTGTGTCTTAAACTTCCTGTTCATCTGCACGGGAGTAAACCCCTCGTTGAGCCTTGGGTCGGGGTGTGTCCCATTTTGACCATACCAGCGGGGCACCCCTTCGCTCCGGCACCTGGGATCTGAAGACTCGGAAGAAGTTCGCGCTCACTCCTCAGAGTGCTTGCACACGCACTCCACACCTGGCGAGATCAGGGCTCCAAGGATGCATTGAATTGATCCAGTGACCCATGGGTGGCCGTTGTTTCTACCAACATTCCTTATCTGAACCCAGGTTTCTATCCCCACAACCCATATGTTCCAACCTGGTTCATGGCATGACTTCTGCAAGTCATGTTGAGCACCTTCAGCCTCCAGTTCTTGGGATCCATGCAGTTGCTCAGTCTCCAGCTCTTTCAGCATTGTTCCAGAGGCGCAAAACAAGACAAGTACGCGACCAAGCAGCTGCGGCAAAGCATCATGCAAATTGAACCGAGCCGCCTGAGCCGGGGGATTTTGCTCCAGGTAACCGGCGACGTCCAACCACTGGGTTTGGCGTGTGCGGCTAAAAGCTATCCCGTTTGGACGGGAGCAAAGCTTTTGAGGTCCTACCTGGCTGGCTTGCTCTTCCCTAAGCAATAGGTCGACCTTTCGTCGGGTACTGGAAAAGCCATTTGCTTCTTCAGGGGTCCTTACATTATACACCTGAACATTGCCTTGTCAATGGTGGCTTTCTTTTATCTTGGTGGAAAAAGCCATGTTTCAATCGGGCGAAATGTATCTTTTAAGGAGCCCTGTTCTAGGGGCCTTTGGGGCCACATCGCGGCCACACCCAAGAGCCAGGTTACCCCCAAACATACCCCAGTTTCATTGGATACATGGGCCATCCAGCGAGGGTGGGGTCCCCGGTGTGCAAGGGCCTATGCCTTATGCTCAGGCGCCATTTGTTTGTTGGCACCCTGAGACTTGGGCCAACGTAGTTCGCCTTGTGTGTATGCATGTGTGTACGTTGTTTGAGTGCGCCTGTGGATGAGCATCCATGTATACACGACATAGACGTACGCACGAATTGCATTATAGAACCATTGTTTCATGCCGGTACGTGTCCATACTGCATCTTTACATGCGTGCATAAATGCTGATTAAACATCAACACGCAATGCATATATGCTTGACCAGGGTTGGGCCAACCCCCGTTGAACCATGTTCTAAACACCTATTGTTTAAACATGCTCCATTTGGTGGGTGTTTAAAGGTGGCTAGGATATAGTTGCCAAAACAAGTCTTGACCCACTAAGAATGAACAGGACCAAAAAAGCAACTAACAACATGCGAACCCAGGTCCTCCAGTAGAGAGGATAGAGTAAGGGTACCAACATTTGTTGTAGTCTATTTTAGTAGGGGAACCCTCCCCCCAAACAAGAATGGTAAAAGTTGGCACCTAGCTGGGGGACCTGGCTGTGGGTCAAAATCAAACCACCAGGGGACCGCAGGTTCTAGTCCATGTTTCCATTTACCAGCGATCCGTTTTGGGTACTTATTTTTGACCCACGCCCACCTAGCAACGTTATAAACAAACAAAAAAAAACGTTGTCCTCCCCACAGATTGCTGGGCGCCTCTCTCTTGGGCAGGTTGGGACTTCTCGAGCAGCGAGCGAAGGCGTTGGCCTTTGCCCCTGGGCTCGATGACCTGCGAAGGATGCGCGCGACGCGGCGATTCGGCTCTAAGTTGATTCTCTGGCTACCAACCTTTAACGTGTCCCCCTACTTTCCCCCACAATTTCGTGTTTTTTTTAATCCAGAACCAAAACAAAAACAAAAACAACGCCCTAGAGTGACCTGCTGGTGCTCAGCAGGGAATGAGGGAATGACCCCTATAAACCATTCCGTATAGTTTCCTTTAGGGGAATACCCAGGTTCATTCCCTCATTCCCTGCTGAGCACCAGCAAGTTCTAGCTGTTCTCAGTGATTCTCTTGAAAGAATGGTCCAAGCCCCAGGGAAATGGGTGGTTTCTGAAGCTGCACCTCCCTGTTCTCAGGGATCATTCTCTTCAAACAATGGTAGCGCCAGAGAAATGCTGCTGCTTCTGGCTGTACCCTTCCCCTTAGTCAGGGAAAACTGGTAAGCCAAGGCAAATGGGTGACTGAAGAGAATGATGGGCCTGGGGTGGGAAAATCTGGGGCGCCTACCCTTGGTATGGTTCCTTTCGTGTGCTTCTCCGTTGTGAAACTGTACCTCGCAACAGCTCCTGTTTTTGACACACTGCTGCAAACGGACAAAGGATACAATTGGAAGGCACACCGAAATCGCGTCACGTCTCCAGCTGTCTCTCCAATAAACACCACGGGAATAAAGGAATCAGTATCATCTATGCAGGATGCACCTGAGAACCAATGCGGGCCTCAGTTTTACTGCTGACCTGTCTGCTGAATGGAGGCATCCTCGAAAATCCTACCTCTACCCCTTTTCAAGAAAGCTTCTTCACAAGCCCAAGAAGTGCTTGCGCTGGCTGGTGCTGCGATGCTGCAGAATCAGGATGGTCGGCCCCTCTGAAATGGGGGCGTGCCAAGCGCAATGTGGCAATTTGCGCCAGAGTACTGCGTCTTGACGCACAGTCGCGTAGTGTTGGAGTTTCCGTAAACAATTTCCACTCCTAGAAGGAACTCAGAAAGTGTGTAAGAGCTGACACAGTGTGTTCATGTAAGCATTACCATCACCAAGCAGCTACACCAAGACCTCCTAAAGTCCCTAAGTTGAACGCGATGCAACTTTCAGAGTATCCACTAACCCAAGTCACTTGCTTCATTCCAGGATCAGCATGAGGCTCTGAATGGTCAGGTGAACAGATACAGACTAGCAACCAACGCATCATCTCTAGCGTGGGCATCTAGATGTCAAAGGTCACCCATCTGTGCAGCACAATTGTTCAAATGCCAAGTCCAACAAAACACAGCTAGGTCCTCCAGTAGAGAGGTTAGAATAGGGGCACCCTTTTTCTAGTCTATTTTAGTAGGAGAACCCTCCCCAAAAAGAAACGGTAAAAGGGCACTACTGGGGGACCTGAAGAATGCTAAAATGAGCCCTTCACTAGGACCAACAGCCGGAAAAGCAGATGGAATCAACTGAAAAACCTCCAAAGCAGTTGCTTGAACTCCTTTGCTAGGCCCTTGGAAGATTTATGCGCCGTGGCTGCACGCTGGGCCCAAGCAATATGTTGTGGCTCTGTCCCAAAATGGGTACCCTTTTTGCAGTGCAGACCTACTTGCTATTCGGAGGGGTCCCCGATCTTGAGAAACACCCCGAACAACCTTAAACCAACCAAATAACTGTAGGGAAAGAAAACATACAACACACACACACACTGCCGTGTCATATCTGGCATCAATCTTTCACAAACAACACCCTTCAGGTAGCCCCTAGTTGGTGGTTTGGATTGGTGGGTTGGGCAGTTTAACCCCTGCTTCTTGTTGGGGGCACATCCGAAACCAACCCCGGAACACGTCAAACCACAAATCCAAACCACCAATCAAGGGTAAGGTGCAACCCTATATAGTTATATAGTTATATACCTTCTACATAGTGGTGACATAGTGGTTTCACCCCACCACCCCCCCCCCCCCCACTTTCCATTTGGTAGCGGCTTGGAGGCGGAAGAAACGTCTAACCCCCGGTGAAACGCCCAAGAACTGCGAGCGGTTTGCAGCAGTGCGCCTGCGGCTTTTGGCTATCCCCGTCCCGCATTTCCTGGCGCACGCTACGAGTAGTTTGATGAAAACCGCTGGGGAGGAGGGTGCTCCTATGAAGGGTGATGCTCTTATGAAGAGTGATCCCGGTGGAAAGGGAGCCAGTGGGGTTGACCATGTGGCAACCCCGCGCAAAAGCCACAAAGCTCTGAACAAGTGCATGGGTGTTCAAACTACCGCTTGGCTTTTCAGTGAAGGCGTTGCCAACACATGGTGGTCGAGCCCAAATATTTCTCAAATGGAATCTTATCGTGGCCTAGGCCTATCGGGAAGTGTCTACCCAGACATGTGTGCCCACCACCGCACCCAAACGTACAGAAAACACACACAATGCTCTCTAGGCTGAACCATAAATTCAATATGGACAACACACACCAAAGAAATCCAAGCAGGGGATGTGCCCAACAAAAACAGTGAGTGAAGAACCGCGTAGTCGCTGTTGGATGCTTCAACATGCTCAAGGCAATGGCTCAAAATATGTACCAAAATTTTAAATGGCACCTTGGTACATGGAACCAAAGACTAAAGCCTGCGTAACCCTGGCTCTTTAATTTTGAGCCACACCCATATGCTGAGGAGGCGATGTGCGCCATGCGATATGCAGCAAAGGAGCTACAGCTACAGCCCCTGTCCGCATGTTCACGCAGAAAGGGACATGCGCGAAGCACGGCTCAGGCGGAACCGCTCACTTGTACGAAGACTGCTTCGTCCATGTGAGGATCATACTTGATTGACATGCCGGTCAGGAACGCAACACATTCCGTGTTTCTTCGGGCAGCTGTGAGTGGAACCTCACATCGTCTGACTTCACTTGGAAACTGGATCCCCAGCGAAACATCTTCCTGCCAAGTGTTAACATGACAACCGCAAGCCACCCCCCAAGGCCCTCAAAAGGATCAACCAACAACCCCCATCCTGTAGGATCCACCCAAACCCCAACCCACCCCCTAGCCCGGTACCAACCCCCACCCAGTTTCTAGGATTTCAAGAGCCTGGCGCATCCCAAGAACCCTACCCGCACATAGGTCCTTTTTGGAAAATAGATGGATATCCCTGGTAGATGATTGAACCACCAGGTAAACCAGCAACCGCCTTCTGTTTTTAAAGCAGAACCGCACAAAAAGGACACCTAACCCACCCCAGCCAGCCCCTCTACCCCCAGCCAGCCCCTAGGATCATCAAAACCTGGCGGATCCACCCATCCCATGAAACCGCGCCTGGGCCCTTCGGATCAGCAGCTCCATGCACAGCAGGAACCGCTGGGCCTCCGTCACCTCCATGAAAACGAAGGCGAGCTTCCGGCGCATGAACTCCACCACCACGATGTGCTCCTAACGGACCCAAAAGATTCAGCTTGCTGGAGCGATAAATAGGGAATGTGGGAATGCAGCTGGAAATTCCTTAGAGGAAACCACCAGTTGGAGGGTTTGTAAGGGATGTGCTCCTAAAGGACACACCCAACTTCCAACCCGTGAGGAGGTCGACGCGTCGAGACAACTGGAAACTTGTGGATTTGATTGAAATTTTCGCGGCTGGAGTTGGTTAAGTCTTGAAACCCCGCCGCTGGCTGTTTAGCTTGGTAGACATTAAAACAATCACCTACCGGTCCCCCATTTGACAATCACATATATAGTTTGGTTGATTCCCGTGGCTTTGTCATACATGCATATAACTATATGCATAAAGACACGCACATTTATACATAGACATAGGCATACAATATAATTACATACATATATATATATATATATATATTATATTACTTGTACATACTCATATCATAGGAATCCCGGAACCCTGGCCAGTGGATCCAAGCTTCGATATTTGTTGAGGTAGTGCCTGCCATGCCGGTCAAGCGCTCGTCCGTCTTCACGATGCGATACACCTTCGAGACCCCCGTCAGAGGGAACTCGATGATGCAGCCTGAAGTTTTGCTTCGATGCCAAGCGTCTCTCTGGGTTTCTCTGGGTTTCGCTTGGTTTCCCTAAGCCACAACCACAATATGCCCAAAGCAGCTCCGACTGATCGGCATAAAGCAGGCCAACATTAACCAATCACCTCAGATTCGTGTAGGCCTCAACATAGGGATTCCCCAAAACGGCCTCGGCTTCCCTTTAATTTTGGTTTCCATTTCAACCACCCCCGCGAACGGGTGTTAACTAGTAGCAACTCTGAAAACACACACTTGCACGTCACGGATATCTTGAATGCTGAAGGCAGGCACAGAACTTACAGGTCCCGATTGATTTTGGGGCCTCCACATGGGTTGTTTTTGAGGGCCCATGAGGGGTCGGGGTTCTCCATTGGTCCTGGAGTCTGCATTGCAGGGGTCATGACCCTTAGCATGATGCATTTGGTGCAGTCCACTTTGGGAGCCCTGCCATTTCCTTGGTCCACTTTCAAGGTCTGCAGGTCGTCCATGATTTGGCAGTGGATCACCGAGTAGTCTTGGTTCGAGCCAAGCTGTGTGAGGTACCGTCCCCGGTTCATGTCCAGCACAAAGTCCTCACGGGGAAGGCCCCTGGAACCCTTCAGGTCGAATTGATTCCAAAAGTCATTTTGCGCACCAACAAGCCACCACTTCAAGGGAACCCCCCCCCTTCAAGGGGACCCCCCAAAAAAAAGGAAAGAAAAGAACAAGCACCACTTCAACGGAACCAGTTTGGTGACATCTTCACACAAATGGAAATGGCCATGGGCCAAAATCCAAATCGTACCCCCAGTGAACATCCCAATCCCCACTGAAACAGGTTCTAAACTGGGTGGTGAATTCATCTACCAACCAAGATCGGGATCCCAAAACGGTTTTGACAATCACAGCCACATATGGGTCAAAATTGAACCACTAAAGGAACACAGGTTTTAGTCCTCGGTTCCATTTACCAGGGTTGCATTTTGGGTACCTGTTTTCAACCCACAGCCAAATGGACATAGCCAGCAACCCGCCTGAAAGACCCGCAGCAGCACCTCTCGCTCGTTGAACTCCTCGCTCTCCTCCTCCGCGGCCAGCTCCTGCGACAAGCGTGACTCGGTGGAGGGTGTCCTTTTGATCTGGTTCGTTGAAGGGGGCCACTTGGCTGTGGTTGTCAAAACCAACCCACAGGGTCCAAGCACCCTCTAAGGAGGTACTTAGACCCCTTTATACAGCCAGAAGCCATCCTCAGGAAGTACTTGGACCCTCTTGGCAGTGGGATCCCATTTTGGGGTAGGTGCACCACCCGTTTTAGAACCTATGTTGGCGGGGATTGGGATGTTCACTGGGGAACGGGATTTGGACCCATGGCCACTGGAGAACCCGTTCAAAAGTTGCAGTGTACCTTGGTATGCTAGTTGGGGGGTGTTTCCCCCCTTTTTGCAGCCGATCGGAAATTTGAGAACTTGATGGAGCTGGCGAGTTCCTCTGTTTTGTGTGGTTCGTTGATCAGGAGTCACAAGAGACCCCTTCAAGAGTTGCAATTGACTGGTGGATTCCCCCTGAATCTGCCACTTTCGAAGGGTGTCCATTTTTTCTGTTTCGTTGATCATCGCTGGAGACACCCCCTTCAAAAGCTTCAGTTTACCTTAAGCTTGGTATGCTAGTTGAGGCGGTGTTTGCCCCAACAGCAAGCTATGGATTTGGTAGGCTCGTACGGGGTGGTTTGGGTCAGCTTTCAGGGAGGATTCCAGGGGTGCCGCAGCTGGGCTTATTGTGGTTCGTTGATCCCTTGCAAAACGTTTAACTTTTAGTGGCATGTCGCGAACGTCTAGTCTAAGATGGCTGCGAACCGCCGAGCAAGCAGCCGGACCTCCAGTAGATTCCCATTACAATTTTAGGCAGCTGATGTTGCCGCAGACTGAACACTAGGATCCATTACAGGCAAGTCCGATCTCAACGCACGACCAAGAGTTCCCGCGCCTCAGTGAGGGAATTCGCTTGACCCTTGTAAAACCAACGAAGAAAAGAGGGCTCCCCCTCCAACACAACAACCCCCCCTTCCATTTCTCCGCGCGCTTGTTCCATCCTGTGTTTGCCAAAAGGGACCTAAAAGGGACACCAATAGATTCATCACGGTCCAAACGGTGAGTGTAGTAGGAATCATAAAGAGCCATGTGTCTTGGCCCACATCTGCACAAAGAAAGAAACAACAAACATCGTATGTTCCATATTGTGTAGTCTTCAAGACCCTGTTCTTGGGGGTACCCAATTTGGGGTTGTTAACGAGAAACCAAAAGAAGCTACACAGTTTTGGATCCAAAGGGGAATAAAGGAAACTCCAGGCCGGATCCAGCCTGAAAACCCTTTTTGGGTTGATTTCTGGGAACTGGACGTCATTACTGTGTGCACACGAAATCCATTTCGCACCCCTTGAAATAGATGAAACCCTATAAATAGTGGTTGATAAGCCACTCCACAGAGAGCCCCGAAATGGCGACCTTTTGGACAAATCGAAGGAAACACCTAAATGCTATCTATGTCTGACCAAACTAATTTAAGGATACCCACTGAGGATGGACAAAACCCTGCACCAGTTGGGATTGGTGGTTCATCAACCACCATTTGTTAGGGTTTCAACTCGTCCAAGTGGTGCGTGGCTTGGATTTCGTGAGCCCACCGCATGGTTGCAGTCATCGCCCCTCTGCAAACAGTTGAAGCTTTTTGTTGGGTCCAATTCGGAAAATCCCATCTTCAACCAAACAGTTAAAGTGCAAAGATCCGTCACCAAACATCAAAGGGTTGGGCTACAGGAAATTCTACAAGAAAACACCATATTCAGGGTCTTTTGGCGCCATGTCCTGTGTAGATTTCCCTGTGCCCAAACCCTTTGGAAAATAGCCACCAAGAAGGGTTGCACCGAAAAACTGAGTACCCTTTTGAGGGGCCATGGTTTATATGGCCACCCAAAAGCCCGTGCCCACAGTGAACATCCCAATCCCCACTAAAATAGGTTCTAACATGAGTGGTGAATTCAACCTGCCCCCAAAATGGTTGATCCCAAAACGGTAAATGACAACCACAGCCATATGGTGCCGCCTTTAAAGGGGTGGTGCAACTCAGCATAGGTGTCCTTGGGAAATATGGATGGATATCCCTGGTAGATGACAAAACCACCAGGTAAACCAGCAATCACCTTATGGTTTTTAAGCAAATCCGCCCAAAAAGGACACCTATGGCACCTAGCTGGGGGGCCGAGTTCCTAGCTGGGGGGCCGAGTTCCTGGATTTGCTCTGATAACGAGTTCTGGCGCCGTCAGGCGTCCTTGCAACTAGCGCAGTCCTTGCAGCTGCGCAGCGGCAGCTGCAGGTCCCTGAAGCTCCTGCTGCCGCTCTGCTGTCCGTGGCGTCATCGTCCGAAGGTCTCCGTCAAGCTCGAGGCCATGGCAAACCGGGCGCCTCGGGAACGGTGAAGCGGGCAGGAAGCGGAAAGCCGGGCGCCGAGCTGCGAAATCCATTCGCAGATCGCGGTGGGCTTTGTTGGCAACTGCGGCACGGCGGTGCACGCGAAGAACCGAAGAGTGCGGTTCTTGCAACAAGTGCCGACCCGGGATCGAGAAAAAGACCATTTCAATCTTTGCGACTTCCCCAAGAACAGGAAGCAATCCTGCGTTTCTTCATTTCAGAAGCAGAAGGGCCGCATCACAAGGCAAGGAAACAGAGCATACAGTTCGATCACACGCAACGTCATATATTTAGTCAAGGCACAAGTTCCAAGCAGCGCAGACAGGGAGGCAACCATTTGCACCATCCTGAACATATGTTATATTTTCTTGCAACAGCACCCAGGCCAGTCCTTGCACACCAAGCCCTTTACATATGTTCTTCCTGCACAAACAACCAAACCATACCGTCACCAGATTGGGCCGTTCTTTCCGAGAGAACCCCCTGAACAACCTCAGACCAAGCCCACAACCACCCCAAGAGGGGGACCAGTTATGAGGGGAGGAACCAAACAGTGCCGATATACATTTGTTAGGCTACATATATTGGCAGCTCAAATAGGGACCCCAACATCAAGAGGGCCAATCCCCTTGCAAAAACCGAAAATGTAGGTCAAACAACACACACACACACATGCACATCTGCGCCTTTGGCAGGTCGTCCCTTCCCGGTCTCTCCTCCCAGAACATTTTTCGATGAGCCGGCTGGACTCAAGGGAAATCAGAGCACATCTGTGTACCTCAGATGTGGGCCAAGGTGTCACGCTCGCCTTGTTGCGAGGGACGTGGGCCCCCGAAAAACAGCGAGAGGGTGCGTTGCGTGTTGGGCATGTGTAAAATGGCCAATGCACAGGCGTGTGAGCCTCCAATGCGTGCTGGATCAGGGCCCCGCATGCTGCCCGGAAGGCCCCAAAATGTCGGCGCCTTATCGTTGAAAGCGAATCTACCCGTCTGTCTGACCTTTGCGTTTTCCCTGTGGGTTCCTTGGTTTGTGTGCCCAATGGCTCTCACTGCACTGCGTGGGCCAAGCGTGCAACTGTGAGCTTTGAGTGTGTGTGTGTGTGTGTGTGCGTAATCAAAACCCGGGTAAGTGCGGCTAGTAAGGGAAAGTAGGGAAAGTCCCAGCCAGTGCGTCGTGCGGTGCCGCCTTTGCGTTGTGCGTGCGTGCGTTTGGGTGCACCATTGCGTACCTTACGACACTTGCGGAGTGGGTGGGTGGTGGTGGTGGGTGGGGTGGGTGGTGTTGTGGGTGTGTGTGGGTGGTGTGTTGTGTGTGTGTGTGTGTGTGTTTGTGTCGTGTGTGTGTGTGTGTGTGTGTGTGTGTGTTGTGCGTCGTGTGTGCGTTTTGTTTTGTGTGGCGTGTGTGGTGTGTGCGTGTTCCCTTGTGTGTTTGTGTGTGGGTGTGTGTGTGTGTGTGTGTGTGTGTGTTGTCATGTGTGTGTGTGTGTGGTGTGTTGGTTGTGTGTGGTGTGTGTGCGTGCGTGCGTGGCGTGCGTGCAGATGCGTTGCGTTGCGTGGGTGCGTTGGGTGGGTGGGTGGGTGGATGTGTGTTGTCGTGTGTGGGGTGCGTGCGTGCGTGTGCGTTGCTGCGTGCGTGGATGCGTGCCTGCTTGTGGCTGGTGCGTGCGTAGCGTTGCGTGCTTGTGCGTGCGTGCGTGCGTGCGTGCAGTGCGTGCGTGCGTGCGTTGGTGTGTGTATTGTGTGTGTGTTTTGTGTGTGTGGGTGTGGAGTGTGTTGTGTGTGTGTGGGTGCGTGCCGTGTTGCGTGCGTTTTGCGACTCCAAAACAATCAAACCAAACCCAAAAACGCCACGCACAGCCCACACGCACACAAACACTCATACCTCCATCTTAAGCAATTCGAAGACCTCCCATGGGATCTAGCAAGCCACTCGAAACTATGTCTAAAGGATTTCTGAGGAAGAGTCTGCCTATGTTGACCAAACCTACCCGCATGGTTCGGGTTAAACGCAGGGCATAGTTATCAAACTTTCCGCTTCCGTCCGTTGGAGTTTTGGCAACACAACAACCGTTGGTTTGCCACTAACACGGCCACCGAACCCAAACAGTAACGTCCGAAACGGAACTCGGGATGTTGAGACATTCCGTCCCTTCCCCTCAGATCTAACCTCGCGTCGTCTCGCTGGCAGGTGTGGCGCCTTCCACGTAGCCTCAGAGGCTTGAACACCCTGCGTACTTGTGAAGGGTACCCGCTCTGGGTGGGATACTTGTTCAGGGTATCGTCCTTCGATTCTGATACCTAAATGGCCTTTACCATTCTTTGTGACCCAAAGCAAGCACCACCATTTGCAGGGTCCTACCGTGGCCTTTGCACATCTTTGTGACCCTCATGTGTGAACGAAGGCTACAACATGCGCTAGAAGTTGGAAGCATCGCGGCAGGAATTTGAAAACACAATGAGCATTGTGGTTCAGGCCAACGAATCCAAACCGACATGCTGGAATTCCGGCTTAATGGGGTCCTCAAAAAAAGCTAAGGCTTTTTTAAAAGGGGGGGGGGGGGGGGGGGGGCCCCCGATTCTCAGCTACCTGCAAGCGCGGACAGCTTGGGATGGGAACCCCATCTCAGTCACTTGCTCAC